AGGGATCTGTCATATCACTTGTGCTTTTCAGTGTTTTTACGAGCAAGATTACATACACGGAAACACCTGGAGTTGGCAGAATGCTGATATTTGCAGATGCTGTTTTCGAATATAGGCAGGGGAGAGATCGGAATTAAATAGCTCAAGAGTTGCAGGCAACAGTAGATAAGGTGATCGACTAGGGTACAGAGATGAGTGCTGTAATCAACCCAGAAAAGGCAACCGTCCTGTGGTGTTCTTTGGACAACAGGATTGTTAGGGTGGATGTTCCCAGACTCAAAATAAATGGTAGGGACATTAAAAGAGACAACAACAGACTGCGGTACCTGGGTATCACCTTTGACAGAAGTTTGTCTTCCAAGGATCACATAGAAGGGATTGTGTCAAAGGCCTAAAAAGGTCTTAATGCACTAAAGATTATGACAGCGATGGAAATGGAGCAGAGAATGCTGTTCACACTTTACCAGCACTTAATCATCTCAGTGATTGATTATGGATTGGGGTTACCCACTGTCTCGAAGAGTCAACTAGAGAAGCTGGAGCGAATACAGAATGAAGCTATACGCGTGATCCTGGGAGGTAGAAAAGACACTTCGATTGGTTGCATGCAATACATCTTTGCATTGCTGACTATTGCAGATAGGCTAAAGGTGCTGCCCGCTAAGTCATACTTTAGAGTAGCTGAAGACAAAGAACACGCTCTGTATGAAGCTTGGGCTGCAGGTAAGGGTCAGAGGCAGAAAAGGGGGAAATCGTGGATGGCTCAAGCAGAAGACACAATAAGACAAGTATGCATGCTGGAGAACACTGGACGAGGAGAGGAGTGGGTCAAAGTACCAGAGAAAAAGTCTGACCTGTGTAAGGTCATGATTACATTGGAAGTAGAAATCCAACAATTGGTTCACAACAATTCACAGTATGTGATCTGATTGTCTATACAGATGGTTCGGTGTTGAGAGGAAAGAGAAGTGCCTGGGGGTTCGTAGCGAAAGCCAATTGAAAATGTTTAGTGCAAGACAACCTAGCATACGACACCCCAAGGTCTAGCACGAGAATGGAGGTGGAGGCGGTAACTGCAGCTCTCCGATGGCTAGATGGCTAGAGAACAAGATGCATACACATGCCATTATTGGAACAGACTCTGAAGGCATGCTGTGAAAGGTGAAGACAGGGATGCTTTGAGCAGAATGGCAAGCTTTACTGGGAAGGTCACGGGTTGTGAGCATACTTTTGATCTTTTCTCTAGGTAATGCCGGCGTAATGGGCAATAAACAGACAGATAGATTGGCTGAATCTACACCACTGGGTGGTAAATTGATACATAACAAGATGTGGTCAATGCCCTTTGGAAACAAGCAATGTAATCAGTAGAGAAACAAGAATATTATAGCCTGGAGAGAATGAGGCACCTGGGTGTAACCAGAGGGTCTGGCCGGCTTACTACACTCAGAGGAAAGGCAATAGTGACATATAACCAGATTGTGACCGGTACCATCAGCACTGGAACTTTGCGCTGGCTGCTGAAGATAAGGACGGAGCACGCATGGGAATGCCCCGGGTGCTGTGCTGTCAATTCTTGACTAAACTCAACAAATAAATGGCTATGTACTGAGGGAAAAAGATTTTAGTAATTACAAGCTGCTTATTTTTTTTGTCGGTGCCTGTGGCTTAGGTGTTAAGGATGCTGTTCGCAATCCCGTGGTGTCGGGTTTGATCCCAGGTGCGGGCGATTTGCAGCACTCTGCCCTGCATTGGTTTCAACAGTGGAACTGAGAGCCGACGGTTCATTTACAGTGGCAAGTCTGGGAGCTCGTGGGCCGAAACATTTGTCGACGAGAGATTACTTCGACTGACGATTGGTAGACTCCTTCTGTACATGCTCCCCTGTGTAGTTTCTTCTTATTCTTACAGCGGCAAGTTACTTTCACTAAACGTACAATTGCTTCGTTAAATTACAACCAGCCAAACATGTTGAGATTGGTTGTGCAACGTCATGTAAAGCACAAGCGACTAGCTAGATATTTTTAGTAGTGACCGTCGAATGATTGATCCAAACGAGGTATTTGAAAAAAAAAAAGATAACATTGTTCTTTAACAGGACGTGACGGGAGGCAAATGAGCCAGCACACTTAACCACACAGCACTTAAGAAAAGTGTTGTAACGAAAAGCCACATTATTTATTTATTACACGGTGCTCCGAAACACCAATAAGCACCCAAGGTAAATCTAACAAGTCACGGTACGGTTGTAAATAAGGCTGGGCCTGACACAAGTCGGGGTCACGAGTCACCTGGGTGTGTACTGTAGCCGTTGTGTGTGTGTCACTGTTGTGACGAGAGCCCTATCTCTGCCTGACACAACGATCCGTCAGTCTTGAGGCTGAGGTGATTACAACTGTTCTTGTTGCCACCTCGTTAATTTTTCAGAGAGTATGCTATTGTTATTTATGAAATTTTCGCGGCTGATATTTTAATGTTACTTTACTTGTAAGTTGAGTTTCATGATTGATAATAACGTTGGCAGAATTAAAAGACAACTCTATCATACGATGATACAGTAGTCTACTGATATTAGTCATTACTTCAAAACTGTAAAAAAAGTGTGTCGTTATTTCGTGACTCCTAACCTGATACTGAGATTTCATATTTGTACGTAGGTAACGGGATTGCCCCACGCCCCTGTGTGGTGTTTGTATTGTAAGCTTCTAGGCCCGTAGTTGTAGCCTAATCATAATGGGCATTCACTGATCACTGGGTGATTGGTGACGCCATAGTATTTGATTGTAGTTCATATATTCATTATATATATTTCCCAGGAACTTTTCTGGTGTACATTTTGGCATTCAGTCACAGGGTACCCGCAATAACTGTTTCACAAACATTACTGTCCGTTTTTATCACTGTTTTTGTGTAAAAAGGTGGGGGGGGGGGGGGGGAGGAGGGATTCTGATGCTGTCGCCATGGACTGTACAGGTAAGGATTTTATTTTTGCTCCATACAGAAAAAACATCCCCAGGCTTACCTAGGATTCGAACCCAGGTCTCCTGCATGAGAGCCTAGCGTTCTCAAACGCTTGACCAGCCGCTGCTCGACAATAATTGTTTTAAAATGGTTAATTAAAACTCTTTTGAGGATTCGAAAACATAGCTAACTAGTAGGCAGACTATCTAGTCACTGCTCCATCATTCATATAGTACATATTATAGTGAACTGTATTTTATTTTTTTAATGATTGTAAAGGTGTGACCTCTTGTGAGTTTATTTACCGCACTGATGATCAGATGAAGTTGATAGTGACACAATCACAATTATAGTGTGGAGGGGACAAGATAGTGGTGGTACAATCACAATTATAGTGTGGAGGGGACAAGATAGTGGTGGCACAATCACAATTATAGTGTGGAGGGGACAAGATAGTGGTGGCATAAACAAGTTATAGTGTGGAGGGGACACAATAGTGGTGGCATAAACACAATTATAGTGTGGAGGGGACAAGATAGTGGTTGCATAAACAAGTTATAGTGTGGAGGAGACAAGATAGTGGTGGCACAATCACAATTATAGTGTGGAGGGGACAAATAGTGGTGGCATAAACACAATTATAGTGTGAAGGGGACAAGATAGTGGTGATAGTGGTGCACTCAATTATATTTACAATGTAAGCTGGAATAAATAGACAATTTAAACTGATTTTATCATTATAATGTTCATAAATGATGTATAAAACCAACCCCCCAAAAAAATTCAGAGATTATGACAAGGGGTAATAGTTAACTTTCAGTACTTTTATCCACCCTCCGCTTCTCATTTATAAAGTAATAATGATGGCCTATTTAACATCCCGTACCATCATCATCATCATCTAGCAGGTCCTTTGCAGAATGTCGCTCTCATCACAGTCTGCCTGAAAGAAACTCGGTCTCTCGCCAGTTCTTCCGCCTCATGAACTTTCACACTCAAGGAGTCACTTATATCCTGTGCCCATCTTCGTGTCGGTCGGCCCCTGCCCCTCCTTCCTGGTACCATGCCTTCTGCTATAATTTTTTCCAATCCGTTGTGGTGCTTGATATAACCAAAATATTTCAGCTTTCGAGAAAGGATGCTGTTTATTAGCCAATCTTCCTTGATATTCAGATCTTTTAAGATGTCAGTATTTCTCATCTTCTTTGTCCAAGATATTCTGAGAATCTTTCTATAGCATTTCAGCTCAAAAGCCCCTATTCTCTTTCTTAAGGACTGAGAGATAGTCCATGACTCACATCCGTATGTAGCCACAGGGAAGATGCAAAATTCTAATTTTTATCTCCTTGCTTGTGCTTTACCATAGACTTTTGAGGCTGTTTAATCTTTGCATTGCTATGGCCATCCTCTTTTTAATTTTTGTTGAACAGTCTCCATTGTTGTTTATTATAGAGCCTAGATATTCAAAGTTTGTGACATTTTCAATTTCTTCATCATTTATTGTTATTTTTGGGTGACAGCCAGTTTTATCTGTGGACATTATTTTCGTTTTCTTTAAATTCAAGAACAGATTTTGATCTTCACTGTGCTTTTGGACACACAGTATTAAATTTTCTATTCAATATTGTCTGTCCAAAAGCACCCGTACCACCTGACCATTTAAAACATTTCATACACGAGGGATATTCTTCTTCTTTTTTTTTGTTCGCCTGAAATAAATTATCTATATCTGCAGTGTTGTCTCTACTATGAACTTTACTGTCTTTTGTAATTCACTCAGTGACCCGTAAAGTTTGACTTGCACTGATGTTTCTCTTGGCCAAAAGTTTTGCCTTGATATGTTGTATTTGGGACAGTTTTGGAGGACATGATCTGTTGTCTCAGGTGCCAATCCACATGCACACATGGCTGATTCACCAATTTTAAATTTTGTTTACATATGGCTGCGAAGTCAATTTTCTCCTGTTCTAAGGCGTAGAATAATAACTTGCTCTGGTTCAAGGGATATTGAATGTTAGGTGTTGAATTTAAACTACATTATGCTTAATAGTGGAGTCTGGTACAACAGTGGGCTCGCCTGTTTGTCTATTAGCCTTGTGTTTAAACAGCGACTGAGACAGGGATTTTGTTGATTGACATTGTCACTTTAGAGTTGGTAAATTATATCACCTTTCTGATGACTTGTGTGCTCTGATTCCTACTTGATTATATAAGTTGGTTAGTTAGTTGAAAAGATCTCCCTAACTGCACATGGAACCTGTATGCTATTACACACTGATTCCTACTTGATTATATAAGTTGGTTAGTTAGTTGACAAGACCCTTCTAACTGCACATGTAACCTGTATCCTATCACACACTGATTCCTACTTGATTATATAAGTGGGTTAGTTAGTTGAAAAGATTCCCCTAACTGCACATGTAACCTGTATCCTATCACACACTGATTCCTACTTGATTATATAAGTGGGTTAGTTAGTTGAAAAGATCCCCCTAACTGCACATGGAACCTGTATGCTATCACACACTGATTCCTCATTTGATGATGCAAATAGAGGGTGACTGCAGTCAAGCTGATGACAAGAAGCTTCAGAAATAAAATGTGACTAGAAAGCTCAACAGAATGCTAATTTATGTTGTATTTAGTACTGCTATAAAGTCTTTGGTCAAAACATTCGATTGCTTTTGTGCAAGTCTTTTCCATTCACTTCGCTGAGCTTTTTTGTCACATTTTGTGATGAATTTTTTGATTCATTCCACAATGGTTTCCTAGCAAGCCTTAATGTTAGAATTGTTGTTGGTTCTGTAAGCGCTTCTTATCAACTTATTGCCTTATTCACAGATTATTTGTATAGCAGGCTGAAGTAGTCTTGCACCTTCCTGTGCAGTGTGTCAGACTGTTTTATTTCCATGTATATATCAATGTGATGTTTCATTGTGTTTTTTCTGTCAATAGCATTGCTTCTAAATTGCTCAAGGCCTCTTTTTCTCTGCTGTTTCTCTGAAATTACTTTCCATGTGTCATTAATTCTATGTTTACATATATTTTTGCAACATATAGGTACAGCAGAAGTTACTACAGTATTGTTTAAACAGACTGTTGACTTGAGGTCAACTTATGTAAGATTATTCTAGAAGCTAAGAGCAGTATACTTTTTAGTTATCTATCTAATGAAAGGATTACACTGTTTCTTTATGCCAAAATCGTTGTAAGACTAAGAGTTATAATCTGTTGTTCTTCTGTCTGAGCCTCCCATGTCAGCAAATTGTTTCAGTCGCAGTCAGTTAACGTTTGTCTTACAGTCAGTCAACATTTATCTCACTGTCAGTCAACATTTGTCTCACAGTCAGGCAACATTTGTCTCACAGTCCGTAAACATTTGTCTCACAGTCAGTCAACATTTGCCTTATTTTGGTCATATAAATACTCAGATCTAATGTTTGTAGAACAAATTTAAAAAAAGCTGGTGAGCTCCCAACTTCTTAAAAGTTGTGGACAAAGAAAAGACATCGCCTCTGCCAGAAAGCTGCTGATTACTGATGACATTTACCACTTAGTGGTGTAGGCATTGAGGCTCTTTGATAAGACCGAGGATTTAGGGCCGCATGGCTAGTGCTCTTCCCACAGGCTATGCGGGTTACGATTTTATTCCCCCCTTCCCCCCTCCCCCACCTGGACAGATAAAATCCCCAACCTTACTGAAGATTCAAACCAAGATCTTTTGGTTGTTCTTAACTGTTTGGCCAGCTGCTGCTCAAAGAAAGACATCAGTATGACAAATACTGCTGGTGGCTGTGTGAAGTATTTAGTCTACGTGTTTTCTAGGTCACACCACTGTCTTGGTCAACATGTGTCCTCACCACTCTAGACACAGGGGGTCATGTTTGGTTTTATACCTTTCCTGTTGATATAATCTGTGTTCCTGATGTCTTACACATCAACCAATGACAACCTGCAGCCTTAATTCTGTATCACTGAATCTGACAGAAACAGGATATCAGTTTTGCACAGTCTGTTGATTTTTTTAATGCAATATTGTACTTCCTTGTTGAGATAAAATGACTTCTATAAAATACAGATAACTGTTGAGTTTATACAATAAAGCTGTGTCTAAATGGGAGCCTAAAATATTATAAATCTGTCTTCTTTGGGGTTGAACAATAATTGAATCAACACATGCCATTGATTACAAACGTCCATAATAATATAACTTCTGAATAGCATTAAAAACAATAAATGTTTGATATTGTATATCACAACTTCAGTTAACACAAATGCTGGAAGATTATTGTAATCAACATTTTGCACCATTATTGTTTTTGCACAAAGCATAACTTATTTTATTATTATTGCCAACATTACCTTGGCCACCATGGCATAGCATATAGTGAGTGTTTGCCTGCCAAGAGAGTGACCTGCTCCTGCTTCAATCCCTACAGAGGCATTCATTTTTTTTTTGTTAATCTGATTAAAAAAGCTCTGGGTTCAGCCAAACCTCTTGAAAATGGGTCCCAGAGAACTGTCAGAACTTCCTTGGCTGGAAATGTGGTGAGGAAGGAAACTGTCCACACTACCTCAAATAATATGACCCTGACTTTGTGAAGACGTCACATCCTAACACCATTTTTGGTTTTGTAACCACTTTTACTCTGTACCTGATATCCTTGTCTTCTTTTCCCACTGTAAAAATGTATATAGCATTGTTTTTTCCTAGAAGTGGTAAATAAAGTATTGATTCCATTCACTTATGGATGAATGTAGGCATGAATGACAGCAGAGATATTAAACAACACTGTTGTACTCCACACTGCATATAAAAACTACTTATTATATTTAGCATTTGTTCCCACTTGACACTGACCGTGTTTGTGCACCTGCATATATTTAATAAATGCTAATTAATTCTATAGCTGCTTAGTTTTCTTCACAATCGTTTTCAGTTTACCAGGTTGAAGATTTTCTCTAGCACAAACATGCACAGTACAGAGTGTTTTCATAATATATTGTTGCCTCTGCTTACACAAAAGCTGACCGTCCAGAAAACAATGGCAAACTACTGGATGTAAATGTGCCTAGAGAAACCACACAACAGTCAGGGGCTGCTGGGGTTGGTTCTGCAACGTCCTGTAAAGGATACGCAACTAACCTCTGCTTACACAAATTCACGCAAATCAAAATTGTTACGCCTATAAAGAAATTATGCATGGACAGACATAGTTATCAAGAAAGCCTGATATAAATTAACAATGCGGTGTTTTTAAATAAAGAAGGTGATTGCCGCGCTATCAGGTTGACTGAGATAATCTTAAGTTGGCAGCTTAAATAGCATAGTAAATAAATTACTGTTTTTTTTGCGTGTTGTTTCGGTTTTTTTTTTCATAGTAAAGTTCCTTGCCAGCTTTATCTAGCAAACTCCAACAGAATGAATCAGTTTATGTACTGACACATTTATATGGCTTGGTGAAATTTTTCCTGCTATCTTTTAACTTCCTTTCAATTAATCTCCATGGCTATCTCCATGTGTGTAAAAATTTTTTTTTTTTAACGCCAAAAATATGTTCAAATTGTAGGGTCACCATAATTATAACCACAGTGTTACACACAGGGCTGTTGCAGCCAGTACTTGAGCTGTCATATGGGTGTACTGGGTACTGTCCACAGGTAACCTGTCAACTAAAACCCGTTAAAGTTGGGAAAACAGCTTTCTCGAGGTGACAGGGTGATCACACATCTTTTCGAGTAAAGAAGGTTCAGCATTATTGTGTTTCTGATATACACAAAAAGTTTGTTCTGTTTTCGTGAAGTTAGCCATTCCAGATTGTAGTCTCAATCATTTTCTTTTGCAAGGTATTTTTTAGTTCATTAGTTATTTAACATTTAACATTTTCTAGTTGAGCTTTTAAAAGTTTAGATGTATGTCTTCCTTTCAAGCTTTCATTTCACATCATTGTCAGTTTTGCTGTTATTGTTTTTATTTAAGTTTTAATTAATGATTTAAAATTACATCGTGTTAGCGTTAGATATTCGTCCCTATCTGTGATATCTGCTCTGTCCATGCTTCTTCCCACATGCGTTAGTGCATTGCTTGCCATTGGTCCACTCACTTATTACCTTTTGCACCAGCATGACCAGGTTTGTAGATCCAGATGAGGGAGGTTAAGTGCGAATTTTGGATGCTTTCTACCCATTCAGAGCACATACCGCCTGTTGCTATCTTCTGAAGCATATTCTTGGAGTCTGATACAATTAATGTATGTGTGGCTGTTTGCTCTGCTACCCATGCTAGTCCTCTAGAAGCAGCGGCTGTCTCCATGATAATGCTTGACATAATTGCCTGGTAAGCTTTGCTGTCCTCTTTTATTGTTTTCTCCATCCTTTGTGCTGTACACGCCCATGCTGATCTTGATCTGCAATGTACAGATTCATCTGTGTAGATGATGATGTCTTCTGGGTGTGAATGCTAATCTATCAGTGCCCTTACCTCTGTGTCTACTGCTGCATAAATCTGATCCCTACACTACCTTCCCAGTGTGACGACAATCTTATAGATGCCATGCATGTATACTAGTGAATTCATCCATTCTTTTCTGTGACTGATCTCATCTAGGTCACAAATCTGCTGGATTTAATCTTCAACCTTGGCCGCTCAGGTGTGGCCTCTTTGCAGATGTAATCCTTTTGTGTTGTGTATAGCTTTGTGCAATGGGTGGTTAACGAATGCCAGTTCCCTCATGTATGTCTTGACCTATGCAACATTGTGTCTGTTAGCCATCAACAGCAAACCCGCATGACATGGCAGAAGTTGTCTTTTATGCAGCCGAATATGAGTCTCATTTTTGCACTTAGTCCAGTCTTTCTAGCTAGGTTTTGCTGACACTAAGGAGGCCCAGACCATAGTCACTGATGCTTAACACACGCCCTTGATAGCTGCACTTACAGAATATACCCTCAAAGAACAGCATGCTATTGTGCTGTTTTTCTTTGGTGGGGGGGGGGGGGGCAGAAGAGCTGCCTGCAAAGAACATTCACAAGGAAATGCTTCCAATTAAAAAAAAAAAAAAGGTGACAATGTGAATGCTGATTCAAACTGTAAAGTTCTGTCAATGCTTCATGATGCAATTCAAAGAAAGTCACCAGGCCTGCTGACTAGAGGAGTACTGCAACTTGATGACAATGCCAGACTACATACGACTCGGTTATCTCAGAGGAAATTAACCATCTAGGGTGGCAGCTTCTGGAACATCCACTTTACAGCCCCAAATTAGCCACTAGTGATTTCCAATGTTTTGGTCCACTGAAAAGCCACCTTGGCATGAGACATTTCACGAATGATGCAGAAGTTGAAAGTGAAGAGAAAATCTGCTTAAGAAAACAGAGCATGCAGTTTTGTGCATCAGGTTTTGGAGGACTGATAAAACGGTGGGACAAGTGCATCAATGTTGGTGGAAATTATGTTGAAAAATAAAGGGACAGTGTGTGTGTAAAACTAAACAGTTTTCAAGTTGTTATTATCTTTACTTTGTTTTTTAAAAACAACTATTTGTGACTTACCTATTGACTTATATGCCAATGCAACACTGGCATGTAAAAGAACCTTATAAATAGAGAGTGGCTGCCCTTGTCTACAAGCTCTTTTGTCTTGTCGCTGAGTTTTCAAGTCACCATTTTTGTTGTATCGATAAAGATTTGGTTCAGAATAGTTGGATGTATTTGTCTGCATTTGTTCCATTCCCTGTGTTGAGCTTTTTAGTAAGATTTCGCGTTGTATTTAAGAAAAAAATTATTTGTTCTGCCTTTCTTTGCTTTTGTGCCTGCTTTTTCATTTCTTTCAATTCCAACATGGGCTGCTAGTAATGTGGTCAGCCCTAGATTCCATCTTTTATACGAGAAAGATTGCACACGATAGAACAGAACAGAGAAATTGTCTTTATATGTGGTGTATAAATGGCTCAAAGGCGTTATTTTAGAAAAAGTACAGAAATTTAAGTATCTAGGCCTATTGACAATATCCGATAGAAGATGTATCACAGATACAAAGAATAGAATAGGACATGCCCAAACATATGGCTGTGAAGCCTACAGTGTTTAGTTTTGTGCTGACACATTTACACAGATAAACATAAACAATTTCAATGGTTTCACAATTATTAATAACTAGCTGTACCCAGCCCCGCCTTGCTGTGGCTAAGTCTGGCTAAATAGAAAAGAGAGAAAATAGAAAGTGTCTAATGTATTTCACAATCATTGGCTGCGCACGCAGATAAGAGATAGTCTGGTTTGCCGACTCTAGTACACGCAACATTAAAAGTGGTCGTGTAAAGTGTATTATGAAGACTAAAAAAAAAATTATTTATCACATACAAAAGCTTTTTTTGTATTTTTAAAAAAAGCTGAAAGTAAAGTTTACTACTGTATGTCTAAAAAAAACAACGAAAAAAAGATAAATGAGAATAGCTGAGGTAGCGTTATCAGAATATAAATATAAAAAATGAAAACTGTAAAATCATGTTTTAAGCTTTCTCATTTAACAGTTTCTGTCATCACCCCTCTTCCCCCCCCCCCTCCCTCAATCCACAGACTACTACTCTCTCCCTCTCCGAATGATTTGAAATTCAAAACACATATTTTTTTTATATTAACCTTGGCATCCACGTCCACCCAGACAAAAATTAGTAGCAGGAATTGTAATTACAAGTAAATATGGCCTGTTTAATATTAACCAAATCATTTATCGAGTACCAGTACTACTACAACTACCATCGCCAAAGTGTTACTATTGCACATTTAACCACCTGTCTGGTTCGGTATAGACAGGGGGTCGTGAGCCAGAGAAGCCGCATGGCTAGTGCTGTTTTATTACAACTATAAATGCCAACTTGTTTTTATTCCCACATCTTTAAAATTCCAAACATTCTTTCAACAACTCTTTGAAATAATTAATTATATCATATAGCTGTATGCAGATTTCTGAGGGCAACAGTCAGAGTTCAGGAACACAACAACAAAAAAGAAATCAGATCATCCGAAAACAAAACAATTTGCCGATAAGATTGTTTAAATTTACTGGGGAAAATGTGTGGCCATAGTCTCTAAAAATTCACCAGAGAAGGACAACAGTAATGTCAAGCAGGTGATCAACTAGACTCCTTTGGTCCTCCATTTCCAGCTGTAGGATCATACAAATTTAAAAAGAGCACTATTCAATACAGTATTTTTTTTACAAACATTCTGTTACCAGTGCCAAAAATGGGCAATAATAATTAAAAAAGGAAAACGAGCAGTCGAAACAGCAGAATGAAATGTAAACAAATCTCAAATGTAGCTAGAAGATGCATGATCAGAAATGACAATATCAGGAAACAAGTTGGACAGAACTAGTACTGAACTATGTCAAGAGACAACAGATCAAATTGTTCAGACATGTGTCAAAAGACTACACCAGATAGTGCACCACAGAGAGCCCTGTCACCTAGACACAACCAAAGCAGAATAGAGGTCGATCTCACAAGTGATCAATAGATCTAACATCCAAGGCCATAAATATTAGCATCTACTAACCGCCCAACAGAGGCTTGTACTCGATACCTTTTCAAAACCTAACATTGAAAAGCACAACGGGATTAGGGAAGAAGAAGAAGAAGAAGAATATTTATAGCACTGAATTCTAATTTAGTAATAACACTGCATTGGAAGATTTGTTTTTTAGAGAGTGAATAAAGGTCTGCTATGTTGACAATGAGAGTGAATAAAGGTCTGCTGTGTTGACAATGAGAGTGAATAAAGGTCTGCTGTGTTGACAATGAGAGTGAATAAAATTCTACTGTGTTGACAATGAGAGTGAATAAAGGTCTGCTATGTTGACAATGAGAGTGAATAAAGGTCTGCTATGTTGACAATGAGAGTGAATAAAGGTCTGCTATGTTGACAATGAGAGTGAATAAAGGTCTGCTATGTTGACAATGAGAGTGAATAAAGGTCTGCTATGTTGACAGTGAGAGTGAATAAAGGTCTGCTATGTTGACAATGAGAGTGAATAAAGGTCTGCTATGTTGACAATGAGAGTGAATAAAGGTCTGCTATGTTGACAATGAGAGTGAATAAAGGTCTGCTATGTTGACAATGAGAGTGAATAAAGGTCTGCTATGTTGACAATGAGAGTGAATAAAGGTCTGCTATGTTGACAATGAGAGTGAATAAAGGTCTGCTGTGTTGACAATGAGAGTGAATAAAGGTCTGCTGTGTTGACAGTGAGAGTGAATAAAGGTCTGCTGTGTTGACAGTGAGAGTGAATAAAGGTCTGCTATGTTGACAATGACAGTGAATAAAGGTCTGCTGTGTTGAAAATTTAAGAATAGTATTCCAGCTGTTAAACAACTTCTTCTGCGTTTGACATCAGTCATGCTAGACATTGTGTCCCGTCTGCGTCACAAATAGGATTGTGCATTTAAGGTCGCCACCGGTCCCCCATAGCTTCTTTTGCAGTGCAGCTCCCTTGGGCCAGATCCACAGTCTTCCCTGGGAGAGGTAAGGGCAGTACTGCAGTATGTGCCCAGGTGTCTGTCTTTCTGCTACACAATCACAGGCAGCAGATTCTTTTATTCCTATCCTGTACAGGTGTGCTCGAAGACCACAGTGTCCTATCCAAAGTCTAAAAATTGTTGTTTGTTCTTTCCTGTTGAGTTGTTTATGCTGTCACTCTCTGGTCTCTAATCTCCATTCTGCCTTCTCCACTCCCGCTTGAAAGACTGCTTTAGCGCTGTTTTGGTTTTCTTGTAGCTGTGTGGTGGATGTGGTTGTTGAATATTACTCCCAGCTTTTGCCAACTCATCTGCTCTCTCATTTCCTTGAATACCACAGTGGGCTGGAATCCACTGCAAGACCAGTTCTGCTTCCTTGGAAAGTAAGCCAGTGTTGGTTCTTAGATCTGCAATTAGTTTGTCTTGTTTTTTTGCTTGATAGTGCTTGGAGAACAGACAGTGAGTCACTAAGTATAACAGTTTTGTGCCCTCTGTGTTCTTGAGTGAAATGATGTTGGACTGCAGAAAGGGGAGCAGTTGCCTCAGCTCTGAAGTTAGTGCAGATGTCACCTGCTGGTAGAGAGAGAGAGAGAGAGAGAGAGAGAGAGAGAGAGAGAGAGAGAGAGAGAGAGAGAGAGAGAGAGAGAGAGAGAGTTTCTGCTCTACTGCTAGGGGGGTTTAATGTATATTTCACAACTCCCCTTTCTGACTGCATCTGTAGCACAGCTGTCAGTTAAAACCTGAGTCCAAGTGATATTGGGATACTTCCCATCAAGCAGAGCAAGAGCCAGGGTTCTCTGTTGTGTCTCCATCTTCACACAGAGCTACATCTCTTTCAAGCAGATCCTCGGTGCTGTCTGTACAGTTCTCTAGCAAGGTGGCTGGGGCTCTGACACTTCAGTCTGTTTTTTTGTTCTCTCTTGAAATTTAAAGTGCAGTGGGTGACTTTGAAGTGTTTTTAATTTCTCATACTGTAAAAGAGTTTTGTATTGTCTTCTGAGTTTGAGTGGTTCAGTATCTGCTATCCTCTCTATCTCTCTGATGGGGGTGGATTTCATGGCTCCGAAAACAATCCTCAGGGTCATGTTCTGAACCTTGTGTTAAACAACTAAATCATCAATATTAAAGACATTTTACACCTTCATGGCATGACAGAAGCCAGTGACAGCCAATGGGCACAGGATTGCAAATTGTTCCTCCCCACAACACTTAACAGCAGAAGTGGTTAATGTAATGTTTATGGAAGCTGCCTTTTTACCATAGTTGTCCCATACCATTGTTTGTGAAAGCAAAGATGATGATATTCTGTTTACAGAATCTGCTGCCTTAAATGACTACATCCTAGATTATCAGCCATTGCATTTTAATCCTTGGCATCTTCATGAAAAACATCATCGAGTGACAAGAGAAATAGATCCCTATTTACAGTGGAATTTCAGGGCATATGGCAGGTATGAACAGATTTGATAACAATGTTTGGTCTTAATGAGGTAGTTTTTATTTATGAGATGTTATAAAATATAGAATATATTATGCATAAACCCCATGTCACTGGAGATTAGAACCAGAATTCTGGCATGCTCTATAGAACCAGTTTTAACATATTGCTGGGAATCCTGGACAGTTAATAAACAATCCAGACAATTTCTTGAGGCTTCCTTGAAGATGGGATTCTTCAAAACAATCCTTAGAATTATTTGGACAGCCAAAAAAAAAAGCAGTACTGATATTTTGAAAGACGGGAGTGCTCTAAGACATTTTAACACAAACATAAGAAAGAGATGGTCATTGTTTGTTTGTAATATTATAAGAGGAAGGAAACTGGAGCATGTTGTGACTACTGGAAAGATGTATAGAGAAAGAGGAAGAAGAAGACAAGAAGATTATTGACAGCCTTTGTCATTGCATGGAACTGATACACATAGAGATGCACTGTTAATATGTAAAATGTCTTCTGTCAGATTATTTCTTCCGAAGAATTGTTTTGTTTCTTCTTCTTCTTCATGTTCACTGGCTGTAAACTCTGGTGGAAAGTTGTTTGTCCACTTCTGGGCTTTGGTCTTGTCCCAGGACTTTAAGTGTTGCATGCATATCTCTTTTGCAGATCTGGCTTATTTGTGTGCAGTGCGCTTGTTTCTGGCCTCACAAGCAGTTGTAGACTTTAAAGGAAACGTCAATGCTATCTATGTTGACCAGGCTCCCAGGTGGAAGCCAGAGGATGCCAGAGGAGTGGTGTAGACAGATCTTGACCAGTATGAGCTCTAGTCCTGGTGACTGACCATGAGAACACCAGCAGTATCACTCAGCTGTACTGACACAGTCGAAATACACAGTGTATCACTCAGCTGTACTGACACAGTAGAAATACACAGTGTATCACTCAGCTGTAGTGACACAGTAGAAATACACAGTGTATCACACATATATATGATGAAAACAATTTGTACTGACACAGTCGAAATACACAGTGTATCACTCAGCTGTACTGACACAGTCGAAATGCACAGTGTATCACTCAGCTGTACTGACACAGTCGAAATACACAGTGTATCACACATATATATGATGAAAACAATTTGTACTGACACAGTAGAAATACACAGTGTATCACTCAGCTGTACTGACACAGTCGAAATACACAGTGTATCACTCAGCTGTACTGACACAGTCGAAATACACAGTGTATCACACATATATATGATGAAAACAATTTGTACTGACACAGTAGAAATACACAGTGTATCACACACATATATATGATGAAAACAATTTGTACTGACATAGAAATACAGTGTATCACACATATATATGATGAAAACAATTTGTACTGACACAGTAGAAATACACAGTGTATCACACATATATATGATGAAAACAATTTGTACTGACACAGTAGAAATACACAGTGTATCACACATATATATGATGAAAACAATTTCTGTATTCACTGCACGTCTTATCCTACATATTTTGGTAATGGATTTTTTTGTTTTTCACATTTACAATTTAAAAAAATAACAAAAATAACAATAAAACAACAACACTCATGTGGTGTCCCTAAACATCTCTAGCACTTCTGCTAATACCAGCCCAAGTAGTGAGAGCAACAGAAAGCAGTGAGTATTGACAAAAATGCTTTAAATAAGAAAAATAATAAAATAGAGCCAGGAATGTGATGTACTACAGGCATAAATGAATCAGCATTGCACAATTTCGGAGAACTTTCGCAAGAACAGCCCAACCTCCTGCATTTTAAATGAAAAGAGCTATAATCTACACACACTTTGCGAGCGAGTTCGGGACGGTTGAGAAGACGCAGCTAGGTGTCATGCACAAAATAAAATAGGAGGCAGAGAGACATTGAGAAGTGCAGAACAGACAAGAATGCACTCAGAAAACGGTTCAAAGCGAGGTCTGGCTGCACCTTAAGAGCAGACACAGTGCCCTCTGTCGCGCTGAGCGTTTCTGTAAAAACAGACAGAGAACCAAAAGGGAGCAAGAGATGTTCTTTAGGGACCTATTCAAGTTTGCCCGGGGCCTGTTCGAGCAACCAAAGTCTGGGACTGTGGTGGTCGATAAAGAGGAACTGCAGTCACATCTACTGAAGATGTACTCCGGTCGGACAAGGAATGAGCCTCTTGATCACAACCTAGAGATCACCAGCAGCCTGAAGTGGCCAGAGTTGCCGAAGGTAACGTTTAAAATGACACCTCCCTCTTGATCTGAGGTTGAAGAGATCACGAAGAGAGCCAGCGTCAAATCTGTCCCAGGGTCCAACTGTGTACTGTACCTCGTGTATAAACACTGCCTGAAATTCCTCAAAATGCTTCACGGCTTGCTTAGAAGCACATATGTACCCGGTGGCAGAGAGCCAATGGAGTATAAATTCCCAATGAGTGTGACGCCTCCAGTCTGTCCCAGTTCAGACCTGTCTCGCTGCTGAACGTTGAGGGCAAGATATTTTCTGTATGGCACACAGGCTGACACAGTATTTGACGGCGAACAAATACATCAATACGACTGTTCAGTAAGGTGGAATCCCGGGCGTTCCCAGGGTGCCTTGAACATGCAACCATCATCTAGCAGAGTATCCGGAGAGCTGACGCAGAGAGACCCCAATTGCATGTGATATGGTTGGACCCCACCAACGCCTATGGGGCAGTTCCCCATAAGCTACTGTGGCAGGCACTTCGCATGTTCCATGTGCCGACACAGATCACCGAAATGATTGAGCAATATTTCTTAAAGTTCGCCCTACACTTCTCTACCCAGACATTTACTATGAGATGGACTGAGCTCCAGGTTGGGATAGCAATGGGATGTACGATCTCACCAATACTGTGTCGTTGTGGCCATGCAGGTCATGTTAGACGGGGCTGCCGGCTATGGGCAAGGCCTTCAAATTAGGGACCACTGGATGCCACCACTGCGAGCATTTATGGATGACACAACTATAATCACGGGCAGTGAGGAAGATGCCTGCACGATTCTGAAGAAGTTGGACAGAGGTTTTCAAATGGTGTGGAATGCAGTTCAAACCGCAGAAATCAAGAAGTTTGTCAAGGCAGTTGGTTTTATGGTGGCAAAGAATCGGATCCCCATGGTTCTTGAGGTCTATGATTTGAAGTTATCTGATAGAGCAGAAGTCCGGGGCATACATGAGTCACTGGCTACATGCCTGCTTGCGATCGAGCAATGTAGGCTGATCGGAAAGTTCATCTGTGTTCTCTAGTTCATGTTGATGTCAAAGCTCCTCTGGCTGCTGCTCATGTACAAGGTGAGCATGACTGCAGTGGAAACAATGGAGAAAGAAATCAAAACAGCCATGAGGAAATGGCTTGGGCACCACCTTGTCTGACTGTTGTAGCTCTATATTGTAAACAGGCTAAGCTGGTACTTTTGTTCATTTCCATAACTGAAGAGTTTGAAGTCAGCAAGGTAGGACTCGCGATGATCCTGCATGAGTCTTCAGACCCCACAGTGGCAGGTGTCCAGCCCGCTTTGTAGACAGGTGAGAAATGGAAAGTCCTAGATGCAATAAAATCTGCTCAAGGAGCACTGAAATTGAAAGAAATCATGGGGTAGATACAAACCGACCGACGCGGCCTAGGAAACGGGTAAGTCAGTTGATGGTCCAAAGCCACAGCCAAAGGGCGCAGAGACATGGTCATACAGCAGTAAGGGATGTCGAAAACGAGACTCTTTGCAGCAGTCACAGCAAGGCCAGTGGATCAGCCTTGAGAGCAGCTTGCCACAAATACTCACATGGGGTGAGATTTGGTGAATGGCCCCGCTGCGGCTCAACTTTTTCGTAAGATCTGTGTACTTTGCATGCTCCTGTGTAGAGTTCTTATTATAACTGGAGACACAAACATAAGTCCACATTTTAAATTTTCTTTTAGGACATTCAATCTACAGTTACAGCCTGCTAAGTCCATATTTACAGACAGTCATGAATTAGTTATTGGGAATAATCCACCTGCCAGAGTGGATACCAGTTTCATTTATGAAGGCAACTTGGCAGGTAAAGATTAAAGTAAATCTAATTAATTTTATTAATTATTTTGGTTAACAACTTGGCAGGTAAAGATTATAGTCAATCTAATTAATTTTATTAATAATTTTGGTTAGACTAAAGAGAATTCTTGTTGTCCGTGTCGTATTGTGATGGTAATCTTGTTTATCTATAGTCTTCTGATGGATAGGCATGACTTTTCTTCAGCAAGTATTCACACTGGGTTGCAATTTCAGAGAGAATAGACAACATCTGAACTGTATACAGCCCACCCTAGTACATTGACTGTATTTGTTGAAAACCATCCATGTTAATTATACTGTTCAGCTACTTGCATATTTTTGCGAATACAAAAAAAAAATGGGTTGGAGAGGTGCCAGACCTGACTTAGTAGCATTTCTAATTTATTGCTTAATATTCCTCCACCCCCTCCCCAATTAAATTATAGTTGTTCATGTTCTAGTCATCGAGTACTGTGATTTAAAAAGAGTCCTTTTCTACAGTTTGAGGCATGTAAAATATTTTGTACTGTGTATTTTAATAAATCAACCAGAATGTGATAGAGGAAGTGATCATATCGTACCAGCCATCTTTCTAGCCTTGACTGGGATTCAGACACAAGCCACCAACCAGATCAGCTGGCGAATGTGGCACAGTGGCTATGATTTGTCGTTGAAATTATGGAATATTCTGTATTCCCTAAACTGTTATAGTTCAGAATTACCAATATTTGATCACAGTTACATGTATAGTTATTGGATGTGTTTATGAGAGGTTTGTTGGTATCTCTACTTTGAGAAAACGATGTTAAACTTCAGCTGTAAGTTGTATTTAATAAATTCTTCAATCTTTTATCTTTAAGTGTCTTCTGCTCTGTAAAATCTTGCTTATATAGAGATAGGTTACAAACAGCCTAGGAGTTACAGGAAACAGTAGTCAAGTTTGCATCCTGGAGAACATTAGACAAGGAGAGAAGTGGGTCAGAGTGCCAGCAGAACAGTCAGACTTGTATAGAGACATAATCACATAGAGCAGGGAGTGGCCAGAAGGTGCCACAATTCAGCAGTTCATTTAGGATAATACTGGCTCTGGTGATGTGATTATTTATACAGATGGTTCAATGTCAAGAGGTAAAAGAAGTGCCCTGGGTTCAGTGTCAAGAGGTAAAAGAAGTGCCCTGGGTTCAGTGTCAAGAGGTAAAAGAAGTGCTCTGGGTTCAGTGTCAAGAGGTAAAAGAAGTGCCCTGGGTTCAGTGTCAAGAGGTAAAAGAAGTGCCCTGGGTTCAATGTCAAGAGGTAAAATAAGTGCCCTGGGTTCAGTGTCAAGAGGTAAAAGAAGTGCCCTGGGTTCAGTGTCAAGAGGTAAAAGAAGTGCCCTGGGTTCAGTGTCAAGAGGCAAAAGAAGTGCCCTGGGTTCAGTGTCAAGAGGCAAAAGAAGTGCCCTGGGTTCAGTGTCAAGAGGTAAAAGAAGTGCCCTGGGTTCAGTGTCAAGAGGTAAAAGAAGGGCCCTGGGTTCAATGTCAAGAGGTAAAAGAAGTGCTCTGGGTTCAGTGTCAAGAGGTAACAGAAGTGCCCTGGGTTCCGTGTCAAGAGGTAAAAGAAGGGCCCTGGGTTCAATGTCAAGAGGTAAAAGAAGTGCTCTGGGTTCAGTGTCAAGAGGTAACAGAAGTGCCCTGGGTTCAGTGTCAAGAGGTAACAGAAGTGCCCTGGGTTCAATGTCAAGAGGTAAAAGAAGGGCCCTGGGTTCAGTGTCAAGAGGTAACAGAAGTGCCCTGGGTTCAGTGTCAAGAGGTAAAAGAAGTGCTCTGGGTTCAGTGTCAAGAGGTAAAAGAAGTGCTCTGGGTTCAGTGTCAAGAGGTAAAAGAAGTGCTCTGGGTTCAGTGTCAAGAGGTAAAAGAAGTGCCCTGGGTTCAGTGTCAAGAGGTAAAAGAAGTGCCCTGGGGGTACTTGGCAAAAGTTAGTGCTTGACATTTGGCACAGGAGAGCCTAGCATATGATGCCACAGCATCCAGCTTAAGAATAGAGGGAGAGTTGGTCACTGCAACTTTCTGCTGGCTAGAGAACATGATACATACATATATTTTAATAGTCACTAACTCAAAAGGCATACTGAGGAAGGTGAGGACAAGCATGCTTTATGCAGATTGGCATGCTTCATAGGTGTAAAGTGAAGAGCATTGTCTTGATCTTTTCTCCGGGTCGTGTCGGTGTTTTGGGAAATGAACAGGCTATCAGACTGGCTAACTCTGCACAACTTTGTGGATCGATGCAGGTATAGTGATGAGAGGTTCTGGCAGATGCTTGAGGCTCAGAGGAAAGGCAAGACGGACGTTTAATCAGAATGCTACTGGCACCATTAGTATCTGAACTTTTCGCTAGCTGCTGAAAATGGGGACGGAGCGCTTATGGGAATGCCCAGAGTGCTGTAATGTTGGTTCTTGAATTAAGTCAAATCATATATGAGTGTGCATGATCATATGCTGTACATGTTTTGTGGAATTTTTAACCGTTTCATGGCAAAGTATATTTTAGAAGTTCCTAAAATGTTAATGAAATTCTTGATTAGGGGTTGGGGATGTGTGTTAACTTTCAAATACAGCTATTTAATTTTCTCTTACTAAAGGAGATAGGGTAGATTTCCTTGAGATATTTTATTAAATGACAGTAGTATTTGACACAATAAAGATGAAGACAAAAGAATAATGAATATCCACAGTTTGATTATCTGGTTATTTTATATAAAAATGATGCTCGACAATTAAAATAAATGGGGGAGGGGGACATCTTGGAAAGTTCTCTGGGGATGTGGCAAGATAAGATGACAGTCAGCACAGATTCCCCCTCCCCCATCCCTCCAACTAGGGTGCTCAGCCATAAAAAGCAGGCTGGAAAGGATGACAGTATAAGCTGACTTGAACAAGTCTCCCACGTGTTTTGCTTTTCTCCTCCTCCTTCTTCTACTTCTTCTCTTTCTTCTCTATGTCTCCATCTTTATCTTTTCCTTCTTCTTGTTAATTTTCTTCTGTTGCTGCTGCTGCTGCTTCTTCTTCTTCTCCTCCTCCTCCACTTTTTCTACTTCTTCTCCTTCTTTTCTATGTCTCCGTCTTTATCTTCATCTTGATCTTCTTCTTCTTCTTTTTCTTCTTTTAGTGCTTCTTCTTCTTCATCTCTTCTTCCTCCCCCTCCTGCTCATCCTTCTTCTTCTCCTTTTTCTCAATGTCTCTGTCTTTTTTCTTTGTCTTTATCTTCTTTTTTCTTTATCTCTTCTTTTTTTCCCTCTATCTCTTCTTTTTCTTTTTTTCCTTCTTCTTCTTTTTCTTTTTTTTCCTTCTTCTTCTTCTTCTTCTTTTTCTTCTTCTTCTTCTTCTTTTTCTTCTTCTTCTTCTTCTTCTTTTTCTTCGTTTTCTTCTTCTTCTTCTTATTTTTCTTCTTCTTCATCTCCTTCTTCTTCTTCTTTTTCTTATCCTTTCCCTTTTTTATTATTGTGTATTTTGTCTTGTCTTGATTGATAACCAGTCCCAGTTTACCAGCTGCCTTTTTTAAGGGAGTCAGTGTTTTTACAGTCTCTGGTTCATTTTCTTCAACGATATCAATCTCATCTGCATAACCAAGTATTTTTGCAGTTTCTCCTGTTGTACACTCTCCTTTCAGTTTTCTTCAGGGCCAAGTTAAAAAGAAGTGGGGACAGCATCACCTTGCTCTAATCCAGATATTATTTGAAAAGTGTCTGACTTTCTGCCTTTATGTGTTACTATATTATAAATGTCGTTCCGACATTGTTTGGTGATAGAGCATAGCTAGAGCAATCAAATCCCAAACCTTTTCCATCTGAATCTATTTGTAAATTCAGTTTGTGACACCAGAAATACTCACAACTAGTAAATAGCATACTGATTATATTGTACGTGACTACTTAAAACACTCGTACCTGTTTATGAGCATATATATCCTTTGGAATTCCCGCACAGTTTGACAGAAAATCACAACACAGTGCTAGGCTAGCCCATAAATGACTTTGATTTTTGCTAGCCTGATGACCCAGAATAAAACGTAGACCACACCAACATGTCTCTCTGTACCCTGCATTAGTTACACATGCAACATGCAGTTTTTATATCAGTAGGGTTTTTTCTTTCCCTGTTGGGTATGGGTAGATGATTTCCCGAATTATACTTACAACCTTCTTCTTGAGAAGAGCATGCACACTTACATGTGGGCACACACAAACATACTCACATACACAGTGCGTACGCACACATACACACATCTATTGAAGAGTCCAAAATCATAAACTGGTACTTGACTGCAAATAGTTTATGCAAATATATAGGTTGTTTTCTGCATTAGCGATGATATCTAGCCTTTGTTTGACAATGATTAGAACTAAAATAAAAGAACCCTTTTCCACAACCTTAGGCAAAGTGGGTATATAGGGCTAGACTTATGTTTTATAGGCCAGTCAAAACTGGGTGGGTAATGTGGTTAACATCATGCCAGCCGCCTTTACTTCCCAGGACATTTTAGGCTGGATCAACATTTGGGCCTGCAGGCCAGTGTCTAGCTGCTACACCATGGCGGCTTTTCTTTTTAAATATAATGTACTTAATTCTTAGTGATGAGTCAGGACTATTCTCATAATACTCTGAACATAACCATCGATGCTCTGATCTCAATAGTTCCACAAGCATAACATGAGTGAGACCAGTTTTGTCTGTACATAAAACCACAGCTGCGATGCCTCAACACTACCAGACCTGAGGCCCTGAACCTAACTGTCCCCTTTACCTGAGCTCCTGGGCATCAACACTCAAAAACCAACATGATATATACAAATATTAGTTACATGGAAACAAGTGGCTAAAATAAGATGAAACTTTGAGACATTGTAAAAAAATAAGTTTACCTTTTATTTAGTCCTAATGTTCCATCTTTGTGTGCCAGTCCACCCAGCAGGATCAGCCTTGTTTCACAAAGTGAGCACCAGATGTTGCTGTTTTAGGGACACACCCCCCTTATCTTACTATTGATCTAGTTTTAAATCTATAATTTTAAAGATTTTCCTGATCACTCGAGCTCTCACTGACTGTGTCACTTCAACGGGAAACATATTCTTCATGAAATTCGGACTCCTCAGAGTCTGAATCAACCAAAGTATCGATCACCTGTTGGACTGTGAAAAGCCTACACCTACTTCATTTTCCCGTTGAAGTGCTTGGTTTATCTGCCGCTTGTATCATTGGGAATTTTCAGAATTTTTTTCACATTAAACCAGACAAAGTAAATCCAAACACACCATGGCAGCTATTCGCAATGACTAACCACGAGGTTTGATCAAGATTGGTTGGTTATTTTTAGTTTGTGACACGTTTTATCACGTAGTAAAGTACACGTAGTATGTAGTAATCTGGTAATCTTAGTTTCAGCTACATAGCAAACGGGTCACCTCATAGTTGCTCCGCTCCTGTGCCAACTAAAAACACGCCAAATGTTTATCACAGTCCCTTGTGGACAGATTGACAGACTGCTGTATCAGCATATGCACTAGCATACACACACATTAAAACATATGGTAGCCATCCGAAGTGCTAACATAAACAGTTTGATATTAAAAATGCAGTTCATCATGGATGGTAGTAGAAGTCACCAACAGATCAGCAGTTGCACACATGATCAATTTTAATCACATACGGGCACCACCAATATTGCGACAACAGGCATCGCACCATTTTCTGAATCCATAATTCACATCCCCACGTTGGTCACAGTAGAAAAGCATTCCAAATGAAATCAGCAGCTCACAGTGTCACGGCATGCACTAAACTCAGAAGCTGGGTGACAAAACTATCCTTTCAGTCAACAAATGGAGCAAAAATGCACCGGCCACCGTCTGGCAGAAGCAAAACATTTTCTTTTCAAGAATCACAGTATTTAGGATTTTATCTTGCTATTTAATTTTGAGCAGCTTTCTGAGACAGGTTATATGAAATTGATTCAACTATTTAGCATGATGCTGATACACAGTCAATGTTTGGCAAGCGTATAGCAGTACTGGAAGAATTACAGCTCTGTAAACCTTTAGTTTGGTCAGCAGGGAGATACCACTTCTATTACAGACGCTGGTATAAATACTGCCAAAACTGCTGCTGGCCTTTGAGATTCTAACATTGATCTCATCGTCGATGTTGACTCTCTGAGATAGGGTACTGCCAAGATAAGTGAATCTATCCACAACATTTAGCTTTTGATCATTTGCGGTGATAGTTGGATCACAGCAGTTTTTTTCTGGAAGCCTGTTGATAGATAACAACAGTTTTATCAGCGTTGATAGTTAGCCTGAAGTAAATGTTTATTGTAGATACATTTACTGTTAATATAAGTGATATTTAGAAAAATTCACTGAGGTTACATTCTTAATATATCTAACAGGTGTTCCTTCAAGTTCAGCCTACCTCTCCATCATAAATGGCAGCGTATCTGGCCATGTTATTGTGCCGGCTGATACAACATACCATATTGAACCTGCGAGAAACCACTTCAAGAGCTCTGAATTTCATACATTAATATACCAAGAGTCCCAGATGAATCTGGATCCTTACAGGTGAGCTTAAATTACTGCAGTTGCACTAAATGCATGTCATAATTTTTGTAACATATAGTTTTAATTTTTTGCAACGATATGCTCTTCAACCTCATCGTCATCAGGTGCCTTGCTGACTGGCATGGGTGATCATGCCTCACCACAATCTGCGATCTCCTGCAGCATGTATCAGTCCGTGTGCCGCCACACCTCCATGCCATGCAACAAGACTGTCAAGAATCTTCTCTCGTTGTCTTCCTCTATCCCTCCTTCCACAGATCTTTCCAGTGGTCACAACATGTTCTTTTTTCCCTATTCTCATACTATGGCCGAAAAATGATGACTGTCTCCTTCTGATGTCTGTGACAAGTTTTCTTCGGGCTCCCGCCTCTTTCAAAACCTCTTGGTTGCTCTTTTTGGCTGTCCATGGTATTCTAAGCATTCTTCTGTAAAACCACATCTCTGAGGCCTCTAGAAATTGTTTGGCCTGCCTACCGATTATCCAGGATTCACAGCCATATGTTAAAACTGGATGTATGTAGCAAGCGAGAATTCTTTTTCTGACTCTCAATGACAAGGATATAATGCACAAGATGTTCTTCATTTTATAAAATGCAGTTTTTGCCTGTCCTATTCTGTTTCTTATCTCAGTTATGCATCTTCCATCTGATGTTATCCATGTGCCCAGATACTTAAATTTCTGTACTGGTCCCAAAATAACACCATCGACTTTAGGAATAATTTGTTTCTTTGATACCACCATTAAGTATGGGCGAAGTATGGTGTGGCCTCGTGCCACGGGACCGCTACGGTAGCCATGAAGGCCACCCTGGGTCACCCCAAAACGTCCTGGGCAACGGGGCTCTGGTGAAGTTGCGACAGGCCTAGCAAGCCGGCAATGGATTTATTACCGCTACAGAAATCAAAATGAGATAAAAATGTTCAAACGGTATCTGACCATGGCAATGTTAAGGGACTACAAGACAGAAAAGCGAAATACAAGATTGCAACACTTAACACCGCTGGCCTGGGAAATAAAACAGAAGAGATTATTGAAATGATGGAAAAAAGGAAAATCAAGTTAATGGGGCTAGCTGACATAAGACGCAAGTGAAATTGTAACAAGAAAGTACACAGAGGCTACTTACTAATATATGCAGGAGGAGGAACATCGAAGAATGGAGTGGGTTTCCTGGTACATCCGGACATATCTAACTACATATTAGACATACATTATCACTCAGATAGAATTATTACTTTGAAAATTAAGAGAGGAGAACAAGCTGAAACATATATGCACCATGCAATGATAATTATACAGAAGAGCAGAAAGATGAAATCTTTGACGATCTGTCTGATGAGATAGAGAAAGTGGAGGGAAGCAGCATACTATATGTAATGGGTGACTTCAATGGGAGGGTAGGAAATAACAGAAGAGAATACAAACAGTTTTTAGGTCCACATGCAGCTAAGAACAGTGATAGAAATAGAAATGGTCAAAGAATATTGGATCTATGCAGCCAGCACAATCTTTTTATTACAAACACATTCTTTGACCATAGAGATTCACAACTTTACACTTGGTACAAATGGAATGATGTCTCCATCAAGAGCTAGATTGACTTTATACTTACCAGAGTTCAAGGAAGAAGGAGAATTCTTGATTCAAGAGCAATCCCTAATGGTCTATGTGACACTGACCATAAAATAGTTGTGTTAACAGCAAAATATCTTACATTAAATAAACACAGAAAGAAATTAACCAAAAACAAGGATCTCATCAAGATAGTAAATCTGAAACAGGAAGGAGTAAAAGAACAGTTACAACAGAAAGTAGAGACAGCATTCAAACAACTTCCACATGTAGTTGGCAATATTGAGGAAGAATGGAGTAAATATAAAAACACTATACTTAGTATTGCAGAAGAATTATGTGGAAAACGGAAGAGTGGAAACAGACGGGGAAATAACAAATATTCACCTTGGTGGTGTGAAGAAGTAAAAGACGCAATTAAAAAGAAAAAGGACTTATATAAACAGTGGATAAAATCAAAGAAAGAAGAAGATTATATAAACTATAGACTGCAAAGGAGAGAAACCAACAGGAGTGTCAAAAAAGCAAAACAAGCATCCTGGGAACGTTTCGGTGAGTCATTAGCAGAAAATGAGAAAACAGCCAGCAGAAAATTTTTCTGAGTAGTTAAAAATATGCGGGAAAGAGATGAGAGCTACAACCCCACTGAAATAATTAATGATAAGACAGGAAGGCCATTGATAGATCCACCCAAGATAGCAGAAAGATGGAGGGAATACTTCAATGAGCTCTTTAATCCTCTAGGAGATCATCAGGAAAGAACAACTGAAGAGCATAGAGCAACAGTGTTAGAACCACACATACTAATGGATGAAATAGAAAAAGTCATTAAGCTGTCTCCCAAATATAAAGCACCAGGAGCTGATAGATTACCAACAGAAATAATCCAAACAGCAGGTGAAAGCAGCATCAGATGGCTTCACAGAATATTCAATGCAGCATGGGTACAACAAACGGCCCCTATTGATTGGCAACATGCAATAGTTATACCATTGTGGAAGAACAAAGGAAGCAAACGAGAATGCAGTCAATATCGAGGCATCTCTCTTTTAAGCCATGTTGGCAAAATGTATGCCAAGATAATAGAAACAAGACTGAGACCAGTGATAGAACCACAGCTGGCAGAAGAACAGATGGGATTTAGGAGAAATAGAAGCTGCACAGATGCAATCTTCACACTTAAACAGTTAATAGAAAATAACATTGAATACAATAAGAACTTATTTGTAGCATTCGTAGACCAGGAGAAGGCATTTGACAGAGTCGACAGACAATTATTATGGAAAATAATGGCAAGATATGAAGTAAGCTAACACCTCATCGAAGTGTGCAAAGGTTTATACAGGGATTGTAGAAGTATAGTTAGAATAAATCAGGGAACATCTCATCCATTCACAGTAACATCTGGAGTAAGACAGGGGTGTGTCTTATCACCACTGCTGTTTATCACCTACATCGACAGTAAATGCAAGAATGTTAAGCCCATGAATTAAAAATGTTAGTAAGATCAACGAATTACTCTTTGCAGATGACCAGGCCTTGAAAGCAGATACAGCCATGAAATTGCAACAACATCTAACATCTATGAATGAAGAATGTAAAACAAATAATATGAGAATCAACACTGAAAAGACAGAAGTAATGTCAATAGGAAAAAAGAAGACAGATCTAAACATAGCAATAGAATACAAAGGCGTTAAACAGGCATCTGAGTTTAAATATCTGGGAACTACATTTACTGAAGATGGGAAATTGGATAAAGAAATTAACATTAGATGCAGTAAAGCAAACCAAGTATTGGGACAGCTAGCCCCCCTCTTACCGCATAAGACAATCCCAATCAGCACAAAGAGACATCTTATTCAAAGCATATTTATTCCAACTCTGTGCTACCAGTGCCAGACATGGTCACTCACAACAAACCATAAAAGAAAATTAGTAACCATGGAATTGAGATGTCTGAGAAGGGCTGTAGAAATGACAATAAAAGATAAGATCAGGAATGAGATCATAAGAGAAAAAGTCGGCACAAAACCAATTCTGGATTACATACGAAGACATCAAGTGAAATGGTTTGCCCACTTAGAGAGAATGCCTTGTGACACCATACCATACAAAGCATACATGGAAAGATAAGAAGGACATAGAGCACGAGGTAGACCAAGAACAAGATGGAAGGATAACATCAGAGGAACTCTACAACAGCACGATGTGCCTATGGTCGAGGTGGCCAGAAGAGCTAGAAACAGAACCTTAAATCTCCCTCGACACCCACAGCGGTAAAAGAGGATGTGAAGAAGAAGAAGAAGAAGATACCACCATTACTTCTGTCTTCCCATTATTCAAACTGAGGCCCAATCTTCCACTTTCTAACACCACAATGTCTATCATTTCCTGTATTTCTTTCTGACTTGTTGCTATTAAGACTGTGTCATCAGCATAACGTAAATTGTTTATATTGTGCCCACCAACCACAATTCCGGGCATCAATTAGAGCTCTCATTATATATTCACTGTATATTGAAAACAAATCAGGTGACAGTACTCATCCTTGTTGTACGCCCCTCTTTATGCTTTGAAATGTACCTAAACATTTGGTAATTCTTATAGCTGCTGTTTGCTGCTAATACATATTCTTTATTATTCGTAGAATTTTTCCATCAATGTTTAATTTTTCTAACAGTTTGATTACTTCTTCATGCTTCACACAGTAAAATGCTTTTGTATAGTCTTTGAAGCATAAGTAAAAATCAATCTTTACTTCTATAGCTCTTTCTGACAATTTCCTTAGGATGTAAATGGCATTGTTTGTACCTTTTCCTTCTACAAATCCACAATGTTCATCGCTGATTTCTGGTTTAATTTTGTTTCTTATTCTTCTCATAATTATTCTCTGTAAAATCTTAGTCATGTGACTCATAAGACTTTTTGTGCAATGGTCTTCACATTTTAAAGTGCCTGGTTTCTTTGGCAGAGCTATAAATATGGATTTAAAAAGGTCATTTGGAATATACCCATTATTATAAATATCATTCAAAAGTTAAGTTATTATTTCAATTCCAAAATCTCCCAGTGCTTCGATTTCTTCCAGTGAGATGTTGTCTGGCCCGGGTGCTATTCCTTTCTTCAAATGATGTAATGCATCCTCAACTTCTGCAGTCATTATTGGTGGACCATCATTGTTGGTCTGCAGCTCTACATCTGGTCTATTATTATCATACAATTCCCCTATATACTCTGTCCATCTGTTAATTATATTACTATGTCCCATTATTAAGTCACCATCTTTTAATTTTAAACATCCAGTTCTGTTACGTGTCATCTATCCTGTTATTTTTCCATTTATCTGTTGGTACATGGAATGTGAGTCCTTCCTGTGATTTTCCCCAATCTTTGTACACACTGGATTCAGCCAGGCTTCTTTAGCCACTTTGCATTTGTTCACTATTTCTTGTATTCTAGAGTATTTTTCTTTATCATTCTTTTTCTTCCCTTCTTTCATCCATCAACTGCAGAATTTCCACTGACATCCATTGCTTTTTTGCAACTCTATGGGTTGTGGGATTGTCTCTTTAGATGTCTGCTGAATTGACTCACGCAACATATCCCACTGTTCATCAATAGTCTGTATAATTTCCATTGCATTATACCGGTTTTGTACAGTGACATTGTACTGTTCCTTAATTTTGTTATCAGTTCTAAGAATTCCTAAATTTAACTTGATGTTCTGTGGTGTTTTTCTAATGTTCTTTAGTTTTATTCTAATTTTTTTCCTACAACTGAAACATGGTCACTAAAGCAGTCTGCTCCTGGTCTAGTTTTTGGTCCAACTAAGCCGCTTCAGAATCTTCTTGAAATCAAAATATAATCAATCTGATTTTCCAAGTCCACATTCTTCGAGGATGGTGTTTAAACCAGGTGTTACCTATTATAATGCTGTGCGACTCAGCCCATGCTATTAATCTGTCACCTCTCACATTCTTCAACCTATCCTGGTTATTATACATATATATATATACAGTTTTTGTTGTTGTTTCAATTTTGGATATTTGTGCTTGCAGTTACCTTTTGATTATTTAATTTTGCATACATTATGTATTAATTTTAACAAAGCAGTATATATTTGTTAAGTTTTGTATAGTTTTTAGGTACTTTTCAAATAACTAATAATCATGTGAAGAATATTTAAAGTGATCTGGAATAACATTATACTGTCTTTAATTATTAATAATACCTAATAGACATACCTTTGTTTGTCTGTCTACCATCATTTCTCTTTCTGTTTTAAACATGTAACATTTATTAAATGAAAAAGAAAGGCATTATGTTCATTCTTGTTGCATGGATGGTTTCAGAATTATTTACTTTGATGTATTTTTAACTTTTAGGATTTGGAAAAGTTTTTATTTTTAAAAACATATTTGAAATTATCAGCATTACTTTTTGTGTGTGTAGGCACAAAAGGAACACATCTGAAACCTGCGGAGGAAAAGAGATATACAACAAATTGAAAAACATGTGGCGACCTGTTAAGTTGTCTGAAGACAGAAGCAAACAAAAGGTATAATCATTTTGCTGTGAAAATGCAAGAGCTGAAAGAAAACAAAACAAATGTGTAATTCACATTATTGCTGCAAAGTTGATTACTAATCACAGTTTAAATTAACAGTTAATACTTGAAATCCTGAAGCATGTCAGTAGAATTCCTAGTGTGCTACAAGGAGGGTTGATGGTACTTGTCTGAAGCAAGTTACAAAATATCTGTTAAGCATGTTCTTGGAGGACGAGAGAATAGATTGGGAAACAGAAACAAGATGCCACCGAGCCAATGTACACCAACTTCCACTGTTATAAAACAATCAAACATAATTATGGGTGCTAAGAAAAAGAAACAGATTATAAACAGCATATTTATACCAGCGCAGCGCTATCAGTGCCAGACTTGGACCAATGCCTTCTCCAGATTGTAGGCCTAGGTGCTGATGTCATTAGCTTGACTTGACATCACCACCCTGGGCTAAGGATACTTTCAGTGTTCCCTCTGGCAGTCACGTTTGTGTGTGTGTGTGTGTGTGTGTTCCCAGCCATCCTCTGAGTAATCCCCACAAAAATTGTAGGAATAAGCTTAAAAATAAAACAGATATATAAGTATACAGAATATGATAACATCAAAACATAAACTACTTATATTTTAGCTGCAGTATGTCCCATAATGTAGTCACATATTCCTCTTGGAATTAGTGAGTGAACATAGCCATTTTTCTTTTCTTGGATGATTTATCCAGCAAAGATGTATCGTTTTAGATTTTTCTGTAGTTATTTAAAAAAAAAAAAACAAATTGCCAGATTTAGCAGCACTTTGGAAGCAATGTTTACTTTAGAACAACCCTTACTACAGATACCACCTATTTCATCATTGAAATATACTTTTAAACAGCAAAACAATTTGAATAAGCAATTTTTTGGGTGATGTTTGCAGGCTAGAAATTGTTTTCCAACTCAGCTGATATAAGCTTCTGCATAGCTGCATATGCTACAATCATTATCATCATGCAGAACGTCACTCTCATCACCATCTGCCAGAAAGAAACTTGGTCTCTCACCAGCTCTCCCGCCTCATGCACTTTCATATTCAAGGAATCACTTATATCCTGTGCCCATCTTTGTGTTGGTCAGCCTCTGCCTCTCCTTCCTGGTCCCATGCCTTCAGCTATTATTTTTTCCAATCCGCTGTAGCGCTTCATATGACCAAAATATTTCAGCTTCCGAGACAGAATGCTGTTTATTAGCCAATCTTCCTTGATGTTCAGATCTTTCAAGATGTCAGTATTTTATTCTTTTTTTTTGTCCAAGATTGCTGAGAATCTTTATATAGCATTTAAGCTCAAAAGCCCCTATTCTCTTTCTTAAGGATATGCTACAATAGTCAATAGAATTACCAACTTTAAAGGGTATTTCAAACTTCCACGGTTAAGCAACTATATTTAGTCTGTGGGCATTGCACCTAAGTCAACGTCCTATGCTAATGGCTTGTCCATCTGCAATAGTCTTGCATGCAGCACACTGATTTTTTTCCCCAGCTTACTAGAGACAAATCCAGCAGTATACTACAGTGACTTCTCTGAATCTTCCGAAACCAAAAATTCACAGTCGTTTGGGTTTATGTAAAAATTAAAAAAATAAAACTTGTTCATGTCCAGCTGAACAGCATCAGAAATTATATCATACCTGTCTAAATACATCATGTTGAAGTTAAAAAATCTACCCAAAGTATTTCAGGATCCTCGCTGGTGCTACAGAGCCTGTGCACTGTGCTGAGCTTCTTCAGACTTGAGTTAGAAGGAGAATGAAGCACTTAGGGGTTACTGCCTGTGTGCCATGATGTTCCGTTGTTCAAACCTCAAACCTGAGTCAATGTTGTATTTTTGGAATAGTTTTTCAAATATTGTAAATGGATCATCATCAGGTGCCTTGCCGAGTGGCGTGGGCGATCATGCCTCTCCATAATCCGCGATCTCCTGCAGTTCGTGTGCCGACACACCTCCATGCCATGCAACTAGACTGTCAAGCATCTTCTCTCGTTGTCTTCCTCTATCCCTCCTTCCACAGATCTTTCCAGTGGTCACAACATGTTCTATTTTCCCTCTTCTCATAACATGGCCGAAAAATGATGACTGTCTCCTTCTGATGTCAGTGATAAGTTGTCTTCGGTCTCCCGCCTCTTTTAAAACCTCTTGGTTGCTCTTTTTGGCTGTCCAAGGTATTCTAAGCATTCTTCTGTAAAACCACATCTCTGAGGCCTCCAAAAATTGTTTGGCCTGCCTACTGATTGTCCAGGATTCACATCCATATGTTAAAACTGGATGTATGTAGCAAGCAAGAATTCTTTTTCTAACTCTCAATGACAAGGATATATTGCACAAGATGTTTTTCATTTTATAAAATGCAGTTTTTGCCTGTCCAATTCTGTTTCTTATTTCAGTTATGCATCTTCTATCTGATGTTATCCATGTGCCCAGATACTTAAATTTCTGTACTTGTCTTAAAATAACACCATTGACTTTTATTACACATTTAGGAATAATTTGTTTCTTTGATACCAAAAAATTAAAAAAATTTAAATCAGTATATATCTGCTATGCTTGCTTTGAATTCTAAATAGTCCTACATTTTTAACAAGTCTTTCATTCATTTAGCAGGTGCTTTGCAAATGTAAATGGATAGTGCTTTTTATTGGATTGTAAATGAAGGAAAAGAGAATAGTAGTAGTGCAGTGGCTATATCTGCCGGCCCAAAGGTCGCGGGTTTGAATCAGCAATCAGGGCAGATTTTTTTAATAACTGATCTAATCCCCTAGTCTAAAATGGGTGGCTTTTGGTCCTAACCCTTGAGCGGATAACAACCCTAGCAGACACTGGATGGTCCTCCTGCCACCTCTTATGATTTTATGTTCTCATCCTGATACAATCGTATTTTATTTGTAATCCCACCGCAACAATTTGTAACAACTAAAGTCAAGAGTACATGGTAGATGATCCAGACAATACAGACAACTGGCATGATGATGATGGCGATGACCACACCATCCTTGTGCATCTACAACTGTATGCCTAACGCACCAGTTAGTAATGTGAGGGTGATCTTTTCATTGTTCATCATCATCATCATCATCATCATAAACCACTTCTGCCGTTAAACGTCGTGGGGAGGAATAATTTGTGATCCAGTGTACGTTGGCTGCCACTGGCTATTGTCATGCTGTGAGAATGTCTTTAATATTGTTGATCCATGTTTTCCGCAGCCGTCCTCTTGCTCTTGTAGTTGATCTTCTCAGATGTAGTGCTTGTGATGGTATTTGATCTTGCTGCATTCTAATGAGGTGGCCAAACCACTTGATCTGCTGTTTCTTGATGAATCTAGTACAAGGTGTTGTTCCCACAATTTGCCTGATAGTTTCATTATTCACTCGATCTCGAATGGTTATTATAAGAAAACTAGTGAATATTTCTTTTATATTTTTGTTCACAGAAACAGTGGCATGAGACGACCCACAACAAATACTCATCAGAAGCAAACACTGGAGAACCATTATCTCGCAAAAAACGTGACTTTCAGAACAATGCTAGAACATGTACCATGAGTTTACAAGCTGATTATCTTCTGTACAAGCACTTTTTAGAGAAAACCAATAATAATGAGGTAATCAATGATCTGTGCATGAGTGTTGAAGTATTCGTAGAAATAGCTGCAGTTTAATCATATCCTCCTCTGAGTTATAACTGGGATATAATCAGTTGTCTTTTCAGATACTGGATATTTATGTTTTTATGATACATTAATGTTCTCATGCTGAGTATAAAGTAATTAGAGAGACGTTCAAAACAATATTTTCCCGTAATGACTTTAAATAATGCGGACACAAACAATACATTGCACAATTTATTGCCAGGCATATTTCGCTGTTTCTCATCAGGTGCGTTACTACAGAGTTACAATAACATAAAATTAAGCACAAATGTCTGAGGCGTCCAAGTAGGTTGTTGGTCCACTTATACCGGAAGGTCTTGCGTGCTCTCCCAGCCTTAACCTTACAGAGTTTAGAAATCAAGACTGAACATGGTAGGTGATCACTCCCATGGTCATTCAGGACTGTCCATTTAACATCTAAAACCGACGACTAGGAGACAGATGTCAAGTCAATGGCTGTGTCTGCATCGCCAGATCTCGTTGCCATTCTAGTCGGCCTCCCATCATTGATGCAGACCATATCAGAGTCAACCATGGCCTCTGCAAGAGCAATTCCCTGTCGGTTTTCTCCACTGCTGTCCCATTCTCTGTTATTTGCATTGAAATCCCCACATTTGAGTAACCTATCACCTTCTGACAAAACAGTCTTCCGTGGCATATATATTTATGAGGTTCCAACTTAAGCCACAAATTTCTAACTGTATCCCTTGAACCTCTCGTCCACTGTGGTTCCACTGGCTCAAGTCAAGCACCACATGCTTCACTCCCTCCTTCACCACCAGACCTTGTCCATGTCTCTCCTGTCCAATAGGGTTTATTTAACTGACGTACCGCGGGCAATGATATCTGTCTGTATTTAGCTCCTGGAGCATGATGACATCAAAAATCAACCTCTCCAGTACAGGACCGCTCTGCCTAGCACTCTGACAGTTCCAGTATCCTACTCTTATATGATTGAAGCCCAATCTCTCTGCTGTTCATCTTGTTCTCCTAGCACCTGCCCTCCTATTTCTATGCCTTCATCTCTCCCCATTCACTCGCTGTCTCCTCCTCACTCTCTCTTCACGAACTGCTGAAAAATGTGTTAAGGGCAGAGCTCGTGCTCCGTAGCTCCGGTGACAATTTCTATGTATATTTTTAAAATCCAAATTAAAAAAAAAGAGTACAGCAGGAAATAACTGGTCCGTCTAGTATTGCTTGCCTGCTAGGGAAGGGGCAATGGATGTCCCGTAGGAGTCCATGCGCCTGGTGCCGCCAGCCAGACGTCCAACATTCACGACCAGCTCACCCGTGGCCATCCAGTTCCTAAGCATGTCGGCCCACCTTGAGCTTGGGGGTTTATATTCAGAGTTTGCCGTCTCCTAGATGGACTGCTGTCCAAAGCTAACGGGTTCCACCTACCCGCGTAAAGGGGTTATAGCACCCCGACCCGCTTGGCAAGCACGTCTCCGAGCATAAAAGGTATTTAATAAGAAATTCAGATCCCAGCCAGAAATCCTGCCTCGCCCTCTGTGCCCACCGCCAGTAGGTCCGCGGTTGCTTATTGGGTATTCACAGCTAACCCCTATATCTGGAGGCCGTTTCACAATCTGCCATCAGTGGACTTGCCGGATTGGGGATGGTCGCCCCAGCTTTACACAGATGATAATCATTATGAAATAGTACATCAATCAGTAGCAAGCTCCCACATTGTATTTGTATTGAAAACAGTTAGGAATGCAACATGAAGCATTACCATTTTAACTGAATGAATACTTCTGATGAATTTATAACTCTTTACTATAGCTTTTACAAATTGTTGTGGTGGGATTAATAAAATATGATTGTATCCTTGCAATGTGCTCTGCTAGGGGTTTGTTTCTACATGCCACATTGCTGAATTGACGAACATCAAGTTGCTATGACACACCAGAAATGAATGTTCAGTTATAGACCTTTGTTCGCTGAATCAAACATATCGCTGACAGCGCATTCTTTTGTCCTCATGGTCGTTATGCCTGGCTGATTTCTGACGGCCTGGCTAATTCTCTCGCACAATGCTTTGATCCATCCATATCTCTCGAATCACACATCCATCTCCTACTAAAGCCTTGTACCTGGTATTAGTACATGTTGAAACTGGCAATCAGGAAACATTCAGATCTTCTCTCAAACAATTACGCGTGTCCGCAATTTCCCCATTCTCTTCAGGTGTTTTCTCACACACGACCTCTCGCATCGAGGTCCAAACTTCAACTGTCTTACTACCACATCATATCTATTTTAGTCCCAGTCTTCATATCTATTTTAGTCTCAATCATCATATCTATTTTAGTCCCAGTCTTCATATCCATTTTGGTCCCAGTCTTCATATCTATTTTAGTCCCAGTCATCATATATTTGAAGACTCTTCCTTAAATTTTCCTTGTTTAATAATGAGCGCAAATATTTAAGAGACTGTCAGTCTTATATCTTAAGAAAATCTGCCTGCTTTTTAAGCCACAGTGCTTGCCATTTGTGTTGTTTTAATGAATGAGTAAATAAAGAATTGATGTCAGTATCCTCAGGGCATTCCCATACATGCTCTGACCCCTTCCTCAGCAGCCAACAAAGCGTTGTCATACAGATGGTGCCAATTGCAAGCTAATTAAAAGTCTATATGTCTTCTCACTTACATGTTGAAAGCCATCCAGATCCTTTGATTACTGTCTGCTGAATCAGTCTCTCGGGGAATGGATGCTGCATCTGTTTTGTTGCACTGTTCATTTGATTCTAGGAAATCTTCATTTTTATCCATTAAATTATTATTACTTTACCACAAATTTTATTGTTTCCTTATAATAGCAAGAGATTGAACTAAATTTCTGTGGTAGTAATCAAATCCCCATTCCATATGGATCAAGGTTTTCAAACCTTAAATTTTGATTCTAAGCTAAATGTTTTTTTAAAAGTCTTTTGTGTTACTGAATTAATTTCTATTGGCATTTACACACATCTCTTTTCTGCTGAATTTCTGCCTGAGCAATAGTTTTAATTTTTGCCTGTAGATTCTCTGAGGAAGTTAGTTCTGCTTTCTCCTTCTGTTTTTGTTTTCATTTGTTGTAGGTGCATTAGTCCTTTTTCTGTTATCCCTTTGTTATTACTTCAGGGCACCTTACAGGAGAGACACTTTAAATTTTAATGATATCAGCAATTCTCAAATGATATTCTGACTTTTCATCTTTAATTCACAAAGATTGTAACAATTTTGTAACAGAATTCACAACTCGAATAAAATATTAGTTATATTCCTCGTAAAAAGGAAATGTAGGTGAATTTTTGCAGGCCAAAGTAGCTTGTCATGTCATGTGTGATAGGTTCATTGTTATAAATCCCATTCAACCGCCGAGGCATTGTGCCCTCTTATATTTGTTTTTGGATCAGATCATACGAAACATATCTGGCTGCCCACAGTGGTTTTAACCTCTATAAAGTCACACGTCAGTACTCATGGTGAAGTGGTCAAGCCAACTGCTTGACATTCTAAAAGTCGTGGCTTCATTCAACAGGTGCATGAGTTCACTTTATATGGAGATCCCTAGGAGATCATCGCTGGAACTATGGAGTTTGTGCGATGTTCTTGGCAGGAGTCCAGCTTTCTGCAAAGAGAGTCAGAGTCATAAGCTGCAGCAACTTTGAACCTCCTGACTCAAACATCAGTAAATTGGTTCTCTGAGTCTGCTCTGAAACATTTTGAGACTGAATAAGTTAAATATTCTTTGGAAAGCTATGTCTGTATTTTGTTTTGTTTTGTTTACAGTCAGCAAAAGAAGAGATCCTTGCACTTTTTGCATCTCATATCAAGGCACTAAATGACATCTATGGACAAACAAAATTTGTTCGGTCTGACAACCCAGATGTATTTTTTCAGCACACTAATTTTCAGTTGCAGCGTACAAAGGTAAAACTTTTTTGTATTTGTTTTTTAGTCCACTTGTAATATTAAAATTGCCCAACCACTGCCTTCTGCTGAACCAAATATAAGACACATTAATGTTACATTGATATTTTTTTGGGCTACCATTTTTAATATAAATTGATTATCTTGTTTGTCGTTATATTTGGCACTCCTCAGCTGCTTACAAGGACACTGAGAATGAAACAGTCTAGAAATACTTGTCAGACTTGGTTCTACCTTCTGGAAGAGAAGCAAGCTACAGAAATAATCACTTGCTGCAATGTTAAGCCATTAAATAATGATTAATTTCCCAGGTAGAGGGTTTAATCTCTGAGGCAAGATTTTCAGTTATGTTTATGAGCACCTTTACTTTTCCCTACAATGAGCTTCCTGGTCACAGTTTATGTTATCTTAACCCTGTTGTCCTAATAAGTTACAAAATTGACACTTTACGAACATGGCTTTTTTGGCATGTTCACATGAAATTTAACTCAGAGCACTGATGCCATTTGTGGTTGCCAAAACATTTAGGATTGAAAAGGAGGAGTTATATTTACTTAAAATAATACTGAAAAAAAAAAAGGAAATGTGAAAAATTGGCTTTTAAAAAAGAAGTTATGACCTCTAAATTTCCCATCAGTCTTAGTTCTTATCCAGTGACTGGCTTAAGGGGTCAAGTACGAGTCAGTTTAGACATTTATTAATGGTCAAAGAGAGGTAAGCCAGAGAATTATCTGCTACTTTAATGCGTATTGATTACCTTCTGTTGTTATGTAAAGATGTTTTGTTTCATTTAAATATATAGAAATAATTTATGTGCTGTGTAAAACGTGTTTTTCTAAAGAATTTTTTCAGGAATTCCCTAAGTACAGGTTATTATTTTTGTTTTTCAAGGGCATCTGGGGCAAAATGGTTCAGTATCAGCTCAAGTACAGGCACCCTTTTAAAAAAAAATCAATTATATCAATAAAAGCTATATGATTTATCACACAAAGTTACTAATGATTGGTGGAACACTCACGATCTGGCTTAATATCTGAATTTTATCCTTTCAATTAGGAAAACATGATAGAAAAGATATAATTATAGTCCTGATTGACATATTCCACTGAAATTTAATGCCTTTATATAGTTCTTTTGTAAAGTATAATTCAGTCTGTTTTTTCCCCACCTTGATGATGCTCTGTCATGGTCGGCAGTTATTTTTACCAGTGTTGGCCATTTTGCTTTACAGATGAGTCACTCAACATTTGCCTTCTGCAGTAGCAGAGAGTTTAATTAGACCCCTCCTCCCCCTCTTCTCTCCCTCCCTCCATAAGTTAATCACACACCTGCCATCTTATAATTTATCAGAATAGCAATCACATGCTTGTTTTTTCTGTGTGTGTTTGTCTTATCACTTTCAGCTTTTCTTCCTCTTCTTCTTCATCTTCTGACCTTAGGTGATTTCTTTCTTTCTATCGCTTTTGTCTCCATAATTTCTCTCATTCCCCTGAGGTGAATCCCAAGCTGCATTTGAGAGTAAATCCCACTGAACCCACCAACCATCTGTGAACTAGGAAACATAGATGACCACACAACAGTGACATTACAGTGTCTCACAGAACTAACCGCGAAGGCTAACCTGCACAACAAATGCCTGCAGAAGTCAGATGTGTCGTCTAGAAGGGCAAATATTGCAGCCCTGTTGTAAATAGGCACAACACAATGACATCTTCAGATAAAAGCAGCAGCAGAAGAAGAATCCCATGAGTTCACTCACATCTGTTTATCTGGTATGCAAAGTTCAGTGAAGCAAAGTCACATAACATAATAGTAGTGATATTGTTCTAACTTCTTCTACTATGTTCGCCCTTACAAGAGTGCTTTGACATGTTGTATTGTGGTTTACAGGCAGGGCAGCGATATTTGCACTTTTCAACACCTAACACATCTGATTTAAGCAAATCCCTAATTCATATCTTTTCATCACAGGCTTTTAGGATGGGCAGGAGTTATACCCCCTCCCAATCCCCACAGAAATGGATTCCTTGTCAAACTAGTCTATTGAAGAGGATGTTGAAAGAAATTATAATTTTTGTTTACACCATATGTATGCACTAATTTATGTTTCAGCAAATCCAAAAACTGGCACAGCTAAATTATAATGTTAGCCTTTTAGTCTCTGTATATAACAATTATAATATAGAAAGGCTGAACAGGAAATAATTGGTATAGATGCTACTGTTAGTCTATCTTTGGTCTCTTCTCCATCTCCATTTGACTGCTCTTGTCTTTCTTTCTGTCATCTTTCTTCTACCTCTCTTGCTCTATAGCATGGGATCATAGAAGGAAAGATATCAGTAGTACAAACAAAACTAATGAATGCAAGTTATCTTTGCAGCCAGCATCTGAAACATAAAAAGTGGAAATTGTTTTCAGCTTATTTCTATATTTGTCTGTTCAATTTTAGATAATGGATACCTGTAAAAATGATGGATTTTGCAAAGACAATTTGGATGTCAGCAATTTTCTTGACCTGACTGCTGAAGAAAATTTTGACCAGTTTTGCCTAGTGCACACATTCACATATCGGGATTTTGTGGGAGGCACCCTGGGTTTGGCATGGGTGGCTACTGCACAGTGTAAGTGACAGTATCTATAACAGTATTGCAGTGTTCGGTTGTAATCTCAATTTATTATGTTTAATATCACATGTGGACTGTAAAATATAGATTTGTGAAGTATAATTTTACTTTGAATACTGAGGGTCAGGATGTAGCTTACAGACTTCATATTAGTTATATTTAATAAACAAACATATTTAATAAACAAACAGACAGTGTATTGATTAGCACTCATAGAAAGAAGTAGAAAGATAGAAGGACACATTAGACAACATAAAAATCAAAAGCTATAGTTACTGTGCTTGAAATTAAACCTGTCACCTCCGAATGACTTGTGTGCCACACTGTGGAAACACATGTACTAAAATCCATGAGCTGCTAGGCAACAGCATAGCAAGAGCTAGTGAAACTTTCTGCCTTTCTATTCTAGAAGGGTAAAGAGCTTAGTTTGTTAAAGTTGGTGCTACTTTCAAAATATTAGGATGTTTGTTCTGATACATAGTTTGTTAAAGTTGGTGCTACTTTCAAAATATTAGGATGTTTGTTCTGATACATAGTTTGTTAAAGTTGGTGCTACTTTCAAAATATTAGGATGTTTGTTCTGATACATAGTTTGTTAAAGTTGGTGCTACTTTCAAAATATTAGGATGTTTGTTCTGATACATAGTTTGTTAAAGTTGGTGCTACTTTCAAAATATTAGGATGTTTGTTCTGATACATAGTTTGTTAAAGTTGGTGCTACTTTCAAAATATTAGGATGTTTGTTCTGATACATAGTTTGTTAAAGTTGGTGCTACTTTCAAAATATTAGGATGTTTGTTCTGATACATAGTTTGTTAAAGTTGGTGCTACTTTCAAAATATTAGGATGTTTGTTCTGATACATAGTTTGTTAAAGTTGGTGCTACTTTCAAAATATTAGGATGTTTGTTCTGATACATAGTTTGTTAAAGTTGGTGCTACTTTCAAAATATTAGGATGTTTGTTCTGATACATAGTTTGTTAAAGTTGGTGCTACTTTCAAAATATTAGGATGTTTGTTCTGATACTTAGTTTGTTAAAGTTGGTGCTACTTTCAAAATATTAGGATGTTTGTTCTGATACATAGTTTGTTAAAGTTGGTGCTACTTTCAAAATATTAGGATGTTTGTTCTGATACATAGTTTGTTAAAGTTGGTGCTACTTTCAAAATATTAGGATGTTTGTTCTGATACATAGTTTGTTAAAGTTGGTGCTACTTTCAAAATATTAGGATGTTTGTTCTGATACATAGTTTGTTAAAGTTGGTGCTACTTTCAAAATATTAGGATGTTTGTTCTGATACATAGTTTGTTAAAGTTGGTGCTACTTTCAAAATATTAGGATGTTTGTTCTGATACATAGTTTGTTAAAGTTGGTGCTACTTTCAAAATATTAGGATGTTTGTTCTGATACATAGTTTGTTAAAGTTGGTGCTACTTTCAAAATATTAGGATGTTTGTTCTGATACATAGTTTGTTAAAGTTGGTGCTACTTTCAAAATATTAGGATGTTTGTTCTGATACATAGTTTGTTAAAGTTGGTGCTACTTTCAAAATATTAGGATGTTTGTTCTGATACATAGTTTGTTAAAGTTGGTGCTACTTTCAAAATATTAGGATGTTTGTTCTGATACTTAGTTTGTTAAAGTTGGTGCTACTTTCAAAATATTAGGATGTTTGTTCTGATACATAGTTTGTTAAAGTTGGTGCTACTTTCAAAATATTAGGATGTTTGTTCTGATACATAGTTTGTTAAAGTTGGTGCTACTTTCAAAATATTAGGATGTTTGTTCTGATACATAGTTTGTTAAAGTTGGTGCTACTTTCAAAATATTAGGATGTTTGTTCTGATACATAGTTTGTTAAAGTTGGTGCTACTTTCAAAATATTAGGATGTTTGTTCTGATACATAGTTTGTTAAAGTTGGTGCTACTTTCAAAATATTAGGATGTTTGTTCTGATACATAGTTTGTTAAAGTTGGTGCTACTTTCAAAATATTAGGATGTTTGTTCTGATACATAGTTTGTTAAAGTTGGTGCTACTTTCAAAATATTAGGATGTTTGTTCTGATACATAGTTTGTTAAAGTTGGTGCTACTTTCAAAATATTAGGATGTTTGTTCTGATACATAGTTTGTTAAAGTTGGTGCTACTTTCAAAATATTAGGATGTTTGTTCTGATACATAGTTTGTTAAAGTTGGTGCTACTTTCAAAATATTAGGATGTTTGTTCTGATACATAGTTTGTTAAAGTTGGTGCTACTTTCAAAATATTAGGATGTTTGTTCTGATACATAGTTTGTTAAAGTTGGTGCTACTTTCAAAATATTAGGATGTTTGTTCTGATACATAGTTTGTTAAAGTTGGTGCTACTTTCAAAATATTAGGATGTTTGTTCTGATACATAGTTTGTTAAAGTTGGTGCTACTTTCAAAATATTAGGATGTTTGTTCTGATACATAGTTTGTTAAAGTTGGTGCTACTTTCAAAATATTAGGATGTTTGTTCTGATACATAGTTTGTTAAAGTTGGTGCTACTTTCAAAATATTAGGATGTTTGTTCTGATACATAGTTTGTTAAAGTTGGTGCTACTTTCAAAATATTAGGATGTTTGTTCTGATACATAGTTTGTTAAAGTTGGTGCTACTTTCAAAATATTAGGATGTTTGTTCTGATACATAGTTTGTTAAAGTTGGTGCTACTTTCAAAATATTAGGATGTTTGTTCTGATACATAGTTTGTTAAAGTTGGTGCTACTTTCAAAATATTAGGATGTTTGTTCTGATACATGTGCTTCAAAGTTGAAAAATAAGCACTTAACTATTTTGCTGGGACCAGTCTAGTTTGAGGTAGATGCTACATTCAAATCTACCCCCGTTGTGGAAGGATATGAAAATGCATGTTCTGCGTCCTTCTGATTTATCCAGTTTCTCCAAAAACATTTCAGTAGAGAAGAAAATCCTGTTGCTGTTAATGCAGAGGTCAATGCTCTCATCAGTGAAAATTCAGACGAAGCAGTTGCACTAATCTACACAGACGGATCCGTTGTACGCCAAAAAAAAGAAGCGCATAGGCATTCACAGCATGCTCTGTGGGCAGAACAGTCAAAGAAGCCTACTGCACCTTCTCCATGACAACCAGCAGCATGACGATGGAGCTGATGGCAGTGACCTATGCGTTCACCTGGCTCGAAACACAAAACTACACCCGCGTATGTATACTCAGTGATTCAATGAGTATGATCCTGAAGGTTCAGGCAGGTTCGGTGCGAAGACAATGACTTGAATCGTTACATAAGTCTACTGTGCGTAGAGTCACCTTCATTTTTGTTCCGGGACACGCAGGCGTTGATGGAAATAAAAGAGCTGATAGGTTGGCTGGATCTGCTACCACTACCGACGGTCAGCCTATGGATCATGCTGATAGTATCAATGCCCTCAGAGAAATGGAAAGGATAGAGAACTTTGGGGGCAGTGAATCCACATCACTTGCCAAAATGGCAGACTCGGGAATTAAGATTGGCATAGCAAAAAATGAGACTCAACCAGAAGACTTGTTAATCAACATAGAACTGGTACTATTAGCCATTGGACTTTGGGGTTCATACTGAGGGGAGGATCTGAGCACCTATGGACATATCCGGAGTGCAATGATGATAACCTAACTAACTAACTAACATTTTAGTAGGTGACAAAATCAAGCAATAAGAGGTCTGTGTCCCCCCCCCCCCCCCTCCCCCCGCCACCCCTGCATGCAGTGCCTGAATTTTCAATGCATGTACTGTTGGGCTTGAGAAGATAATCGAAAACTTGCGTGTAAACAGAGGTGCTGTCTACAGTCACAACCAAACTGTAAAATCACACTCTTGAACAGTGTTGATATTCTGAAGCAGTTGTTCTACTTAGATCACTTGATGTCATCCTCAGCATATCTGCCAGCTCTACAACTTCACAGTAATTTCCAAACAAGTAGAAATCATAAAAGCCTGTATTGTTGTTGCAGACTGCGTTGAGTTTCCAGCCTCACCAAATAACTGAGCTCCTGATTAGATTACAGCTGATTTCACATGTATTTCTTCCATTTGCACGACCACAATCTTGTCCAAATCTTTACATTTTAAGTAACCCAGAGATGCTGCCATCATTGTTAGATAAACTTGTTGGTGCGTTTGGATGTGGCAGACATAATAATAGAGATTTTCTGATCAATCTGTAGCATGCAGGAGATTTGATGAAAACCATATCAGAAAAGTATAGTTTGAAACTGCTGTAGCATGCAGGAGATTTGATGAAAACCATATAAGAAAAGTACAGTTTGAAACTGCTGTAGCATACAGGAGATTTGATAAAAACCATATCAGAAAAGTACAGTTTGAAACTGCTGCAACATGCAGGAGATTTGATAAAAACCATATCAGAAAAGCTTAGTTTGAAACTGCTGTAGCATGCAGGAGATTTGATAAAAACCATATCAGAAAAGTACAGTTTGAAACTGCTGTAGCATACAGGAGATTTGATAAAAACCATATCAGAAAAGTACAGTTTGAAACTGCTGTAGCATGCAGGAGATTTGATAAAAACCATATCAGAAAAGTACAGTTTGAAACTGCTGCAACATGCAGGAGATTTGATAAAAACCATATCAGAAAAGTACAGTTTGAAACTGCTGTAGCATGCAGGAGATTTGATAAAAACCATATCAGAAAAGCTTAGTTTGAAACTGCTGTAGCATGCAGGAGATTTGATAAAAACCATATCAGAAAAGTACAGTTTGAAACTGCTGTAGCATGCAGGAGATTTTATAAAAACCATATCAGAAAAGTACAGTTTGAAACTGCTGTAGCATGCAGGAGATTTTATAAAAACCATATCAGAAAAGTACAGTTTGAAACTGCTGTAGCACCTTTTTGTCATTATTGACCACTCGCAGCTGCTCTATGCTAAATATTAATTGCATTATAGTCGTCTCTAAATTAATGTGCTCAGATGGCCACAGCAATTCTCCAGCAATATCTAAGTACTGCATGCTTTTTCGAATAAATCACTAACACTCTTTGGAGAAGTTGCAGGCCAGTCTTCTTGTAGTAGATTTTCTAGTTGTGACCATCTTTCCAGTTTATTTTTGGCAATAATCCAGTCAAGATCTTGATCAGATGTGTTTATTTTCCAGATAAACTTTTTCACACATGTCTGGTAAGACTTTACGCTTACAGATATTGATGGTGCAGTGTCTGCTTTCACAATGATATTGCACAGTACAAGACATGATGTACCTTCTGTGTCAGTACACATTTTCCAGTTTTTATCTAACAAGTCTTTTAATTTGGCTATAATCTGACACTGCAAAGTTTGAAAATCTTGTATAATATCTGATGTCCGCCAGCCTGTGGTTCTGTTTTTATTTCTACTGATGATTTCTGATGCTTGTTTTTGTGGAACTTTGTGAGATTATAGTACCACAGTTAATAATAAGCAGTCCAGGAAACAAAGATGGATATGCATTCAATTTTAAAATGGGATTCTTTCTGGCTAACTAATGTTCAGCACCAGCTTTATCAGTACATTTATCTGACAGAATCCTACCACATGGAAGACAACATTTACCTGACACCATGCTGTATTTAGCAGTCTCTACATGGATTGGAAAGAATTATAGCAGAGGGATGGTACCAGGAAAGAGAGGCAGAGGATGACCGACACAAAAATGGGCACAGGATATAAGTGACTCCTTGAGTATGGAAGTACATGAGGCGGGAGAACTGGCGAGAGACTGAGTTTCTTTCAGGCAGACTGTGATGAGAGCGATATTCTGCAAAAGACCTACTACATGATGATGATGACATGGAGTATACTACTTCCATTTTTTCCTCACATGAAAATCTCAGGGAAATTGAAATGCAGTCACATATTCACTTGTGGATTGGTTGTTCAGTTTACATTCAGGAACACAGCACTTTCAAGGCATTTTTAAAATCAGACTACACAATACAACACAACAAAGTGTTCAAAATAAATGCCACTGCTTTTTGACACCAAAAACACTGTGGCCTAATCTACAGATGGCCATGGTTCTGCACTGCCTTTTCATTCATTTTCATTAGTGTCCTTTTAAATTTTCTAAGTTTTAGCTGTCAGCAACCTAATTTACTATATTCATTTTCTATGGCTCGCTGTGTAGGCCAGCTAACAGACTTCACTACCCTGGACACACTCAAGACACGCACCTGCTGAGTACAAACATAATCTTTAATGAACAATGAACAATACAGCTAGAGACACCTCAACTAAGTTGGCAGTCCTTATCCGAAACATTGGCGTTGAGCAGCTTTTACATCCACTTGTCAACCCAAGCTGTTCCCATGGATCCCTAAGGACACGATTCCTAACTAACAGTTTATCAGTGCTAACTAAGCCGCCGTCTATTGCCACACGGGACTCAGCGGCACACGTAAGGTGTATGGCCTAAGCGTGACTGGGCAGTAATACCACCATTAACAATGCCTGTCACACATTCACTAGCTGCTTAACAAATACTGCGTGGAACGTCTACTATACAAGGAACATTAACTCTACATTATCTCGTCGAAACATTAAATGGAAACACAGCCTATCAAAGATACTAAACACAAATACTATTCAAACTAGCCGTCACTAACCTTATGTACTTTTACCTAGTCAAAGCGCTACGTCTGGTCCAGTCCAGTCTCACTACACAACTCCTCCTCAGCCAGCTCTGTCAAAGCTTTTTGTTCCCTTCCTGCGTTCATCACTCGACACGCGGTAGTCCATGTTAACCGTGTGAACTGGGCTTAGCCAGTTAACTCGACCCAGTTTATTCCGTGGTCAAGCTGCCCGCTCTCATACTGAGTTTTACTGAAGGTCAACTCGTTCATACGTAATGATTCACTATCATCAACTCTGTTCATCCTGTAGCCGAACTGGCCTCTGACATTTTCTAAGTGTTAGCCTTCTTTATTTGTGATTTATAATAATTTTGTTCTGCTATTTTATTGACAGATCACATATTTCTCATACTATCCATTGATCATTAAATAAAGTATTACAATCCTTAGTCTAGCAGCATTAAAATATTGTAAGCATTCTGTTTTGTTTACCTTCTAGCCCCAAACGCTGGTATCTGTGGAAAATATGGTGATGTGCGGGACAGCAACAATGGGATTGCTAGGAGAAGTTTGAATACTGGCATTGTCACGCTGATAAACTTTAAGCAGGAGGTGCCACCTCGTGTGTCACAGTTGACATTTGCTCATGAGGTTGGACATAATTTTGGTTCCCAGGTATGTGATACCATGTCTTATCTAGAAAATCACTTCCTTTGAAAGAACAATCTTTATCACTCTCCCAAAGAAAGAAAATTTGGAATTATGTTCTATCAAACAATCGCATTAATAAGTCATGCTAGGAAAATCCTCTTTGAATTATCATGAAAAGGATTGAAAGGAAACTATACTATGAGCTACGTGAAGCAGAAGCGGGTTTCAGACAGGGTAGAGGAATTAGGGATCACAACTTTTATATAAAAATAATCTTTGAAAAATGTAGAGAACACATTCCATGCTTGTTTCATTGATTGTAGCAAGACCTTTGATTGTGTCCAGCATCAGAAACTGTGGAGTATCATGGGAAGTATGGAGGTTTCCGGCACACTTGTAAAGTTTAATTCTTCTTATTCTTCTTCTTCTTCTTCTTCTTCTTCTTCTTCTTCTTCTTCTTCTTCTTCTTCTTCTTCCTGCTGTAAACTCTGGCGGAAAGTTCTGGTTATTCATCTACTTTTGGACTGCAGTCCTGTTCCAGAACCTGAGTGTTGCGTGTGCATTGGTTTTATAGATATGACTCATTTGAATGCAGACTGCTGGTTCCTTGCCTGTCAGGCAGATGCACTGCGACTTCAAAAGAAGCTCCCAATTAGTTGACTCTTATAACATGCTTTTGGGTAGGCAGTGGATCAATTCTTGTTTTCCCGATAATAGGGCCCTGGAACCCATACGGGTAGGGGAGTTTAATTTAAAGCTTGTATCACGAAGAACAAGCAGCCATTAGAGCAGCTGGTGAAACATCGCATTGGTTTGGGGTACAAAAAGGAGTAAGGCGGGGGTGGATTCTCTCATCCTAACTATTCAGTATATATGCAGAAAACATAATTAGAAATGTCAAAAATGACCAGACTTGTGACAGTTATAAACCGCTCATAGTTGATGGAAACCCTTTTCCAGAACTTTGCTGTCCAGATAATATAGTCCTCCTATCGAACAATGTAAAGGAATAGAACATTTTATCATGTCTGCCAAAAAATGGAGTGAAGATCAAAACCTGTTCTTGAATTAAATGAAAATAATGTCCACAGGCAATACTGGTTGTCACACACACACACACACACATATACACAAAAAGACAAAGAAATTGAAAATGTCACAAATTTGTCTAGGCCCATAATAAACAGCAATGGAGATTGTTCAGCAATACAAAGATTAAACAGCATTAAATGTCTGGTTAAACACCAGTAAGGAAATCAAAGTTAAAATTTTGAGAGAATGCATCTTCTCTGTAGCAACATATGGATGTGAGTCGTGGACTATCTCCCAGTACTTAAGGAAGAATATAACTCTTGAGCTGAAGTGCTATAGAAAGATTCTCAGAACAGAATACCATGGACAAAAAAGAGAAGAAATACTGACATTCTAAAAGACCTTGACTGACTGACTGACTGACTTTCTACCCCACCAGGACATCACACAAGTGACAAACACCCAATGACACAAAGTGCCACCATGTGGATGAGGATCGCCGTGGAGAGGTCCCAGAAACTGCGTTCAGACAACTCGCCATTTTATGGGCCGCCTATATTACGGCCCCTGGCAAAAGCCCGGGTGGGGCTTCAAATAACAAAAAATATAATCCTAGAAAGGACGAAACTGGATATTGTTTCTAAAAGACCTTAACATCAAGGAAGAGTCGTTAGTAAACAACATCTTGTCTCAGAAGCAAAAATATTTTACCCATATCAAGTGCCATGGTGGAGTATAAAAAATAATATTATAGAAGGCATGGTACCAGCAGGGAGGAGTAGGGCTGACCAACAGGAAGATGAGCACAGTATAGGAGTGACTTCTTGAATATGAAAGTGCTAGAGGTGGGAGAGCTGGTAAGAGACTGAGTTTCTTTCAGGAGAACTCTGATAAGAGCAATGTTCTATAAAGAACCTGCTACTTGATGATGATTAAACAGTTTTTACATTACCTTGATCAATATAAATTTGTTTAATTAGTAAAAGTTAAAATTGAAATTAATTTTAAATTTCAGAATTTGCTAGGGATGGAACATTTTTCCTATATTTTAGTACCACATCATGCACAGCAACACACTTTGCTTGTTCGTTTTGCTGCTTGCTATTTCTAATTATATGCAAATATCTAAAACTATAATGTTTCTTCATAGGTTTTGTGTATTTCTTTCAGAGTAATATATATTTAAAAAAAAAAGTTTAAATCTGGCTCTTGCCAGGGGCCGCAACATAGCCGGTCCTTAAATGTGGCCTAACGGCTGAACATGATTCAGTAGTAGGGATGGTCGGAAGCTTACCTCACCACTACTAGTTCTATTAGACTGGTCTTATAAAAATAAGGAGAGAGTATATGAAGCACCTCATTCATCCTATTATACTATAGACTTCTGTATCTTTACCTTGTATTAAGGAGATCATTGTCCATCACCCAGTTTGTGACAGTCAAGAATGATAAGTAATTATGAGCACATGCTATAATTTTAACTGAAGCTCAACAGATTCATATGTTTTTTTGTTTTGTGTTTTGTTTGTCAGTGCTTCTTTCAATCCTCTTTTCTGAAAAGATTCTATGGTTTTTCTCTCAATTACTTCATCACAGTTGTTTTGGTACAGTAATGACTGCTGCCACAAAGCCCATGAAATATGGATATCTTACAACTGTGTGGCTATCCAGGACATATTGTATCAGCAGCTTTCCACAGTGTACTGTCTCTTCATCCTGCTAGTGCTGTGTCTTCCAAGTATGAACCGAAGAACATTAGAGTTGTCCTTTCCCTGATCCCACCCATACAATTACTGTTAAAGATTACCTCATTCTGGTACCTTTTTGTGGCCGTGATAGCACAGTCGAAGGGCGACTCACTTTCAAATCTAGTTGAGACTCGCTGCAGCCCACAGCCGCTGTTCGAAACCCGGCGGTTCCCAGGGTTCACCCAGCCTCTAGGAAATGCGTACCAGAGTCAACACTCTGGGGTAAATTAAGGAACGTTGCTGTAGCTATGGAGTTTCGTGCAGACAACAACACAGGCGGACAGTTTCTTAGCTGTCCATACTGGTGGCAGAGTACTTGTGGTTTAGAACCATGTGCAGTGACGCTGGTTCACATCTCCCGACTTTACTTTTTTAACTTTCACCTTTCTGCCCTGTATGCTGACCCCAGCACTTGCATTGTTTCCTCAGAAGCACATTCATTTGCACAGATTGTTAAGTCTATAGTAGTCTCAAGGACTTACTGGTCGGGAATAGATTACATCAGTCTTCTGAGTCTAATTTAGGCTTGTCTTAGTCATAAGTTTCAGTCCTGTCCATGTGTGCTTGGATGCTAGTGGCGCTGCTCTCAAAGCAGTTTGACCATTCATTAAAGGTTTTCCTGGACAGTGTTATTTGTGTCTTTATCATTAAATAAATCAAATTCATTACTTGCACTTTATTTGTAATTTACCTGTTCTGTTGAGGTGTCCTTATATTTAATAAAGCATCAGAAATAGTGGGTTGTTTTAGTTTGTACAGCAACAGAAATAGTGGGTTGTTTTAGTTTGTATAGCAACAGAAATAGTGGGTTGTTTTAGTTTGTATAGCAACAGAAATAGTGGGTTGTTTTAGTTTGTATAGCAACAGAAATAGTGGGTTGTTTTAGTTTGTATAGCAACAGAAATAGTGGGTTGTTTTAGTTTGTATAGCAACAGAAATAGTGGGTTGTTTTAGTTTGTATAGCAACAGAAATAGTGGGTTGTTTTAGTTTGTATAGCAACAGAAATAGTGGGTTGTTTTAGTTTGTATAGCAACAGAAGTAGTGGGTTGTTTTAGTTTGTATAGCAACAGAAATAGTGGGTTGTTTTTAGTTTGTATAGCAACAGAAATAGTGGGTTGTTTTAGTTTGTATAGCAACAGAAATAGTGGGTTGTTTTAGTTTGTATAGCAACAGAAATAGTGGGTTGTTTTAGTTTGTATAGCAACAGAAATAGTGGGTTGTTTTATTTTGTATAGCAACAGAAATAGTGGGTTGTTTTAGTTTGTATAGCAACAGAAATAGTGGGTTGTTTTAGTTTGTATAGCAACAGAAATAGTGGGTTGTTTTAGTTTGTATAGCAACAGAAATAGTGGGTTGTTTTAGTTTGTATAGCAACAGAAATAGTGGGTTGTTTTAGTTTGTATAGCAACAGAAATAGAGGGTTGTTTTAGTTTGTATAGCAACAGAAATAGTGCGTTGTTTTAGTTTGTATAGCAACAGAAATAGTGGGTTGTTTTAGTTTGTATAGCAACAGAAATAGTGGGTTGTTTTAGTTTGTATAGCAACAGAAATAGTGGGTTGTTTTAGTTTGTATAGCAACACAGAAATAGTGGGTTGTTTTAGTTTGTATAGCAACAGAAATAGTGGGTTGTTTTAGTTTGTATAGCAACAGAAATAGTGGGTTGTTTTAGTTTGTATAGCAACAGAAATAGTGGGTTGTTTTAGTTTGTATAGCAACAGAAATAGTGGGTTGTTTTAGTTTGTATAGCAACAGAAATAGTGGGTTGTTTTAGTTTGTATAGCAACAGAAATAGTGGGTTGTTTTAGTTTGTATAGCAACATAAATAGTGGGTTTTTTTAGTTTGTATAGCAACAGAAATAGTGGGTTGTTTTAGTTTGTATAGCAACAGAAATAGTGGGTTGTTTTAGTTTGTATAGCAACAGAAATAGTGGGTTGTTTTAGTTTGTATAGCAACAGAAATAGTGGGTTGTTTTAGTTTGTATAGCAACAGAAATAGTGGGTTGTTTTAGTTTGTATAGCAACAGAAATAGTGGGTTGTTTTAGTTTGTATAGCAACAGAAATAGTGGGTTGTTTTATTTTATTTAGCAATTTAAAAATATGCTGATTATTTTTTTTGAAAAAACAGAAAAATTGTCCTTTTACTTCATATAATGGGAAACACAAATTGTCTTCGTACTATTTGTTATATAGCATGGCAAGAGAAAATGTGTCCTTTTTGTGTGTAGCATGACACAGCAGAACTAATTGCCCTTTTATTTTGTGCAGCACGACACAACAGAAAAATGTGCACCATATGGAACTGGTGAGCCAAACGCATCAGATGGCAACTACATTATGTTTCCCAGTGCAACTCAGGGAAACCTTCCCAACAACAGGCAGTTTAGCACCTGCAGTAAAGATGCTATTGCTAGAGTCTTGGAAACATTGGCTCCGGCTGGGAGAAGACCATCTTGTTTCGTTGGTAATTATTTTGAATATCAAGTCTTAAAAGGGCATTATATTTCAATATTTCTTTATTACGAGTGGAAGTTAATGAGTATTTCTTTATTACAAGTGGAATTTAATAAGTATTTTTTTATTACGAGTGGAAGTTAATAAGTATTTCTTTATTACGAGTGGAAGTTAATAAGTATTTCTTTATTACGAGTGGAAGTTAATAAGTATTTCTTTATTACGAGTGGAAGTTAATAAGTATTTCTTTATTACGAGTAGAAGTTAATCAGTATTTCTTTTTTTGAGTAGAAGTTAATCAGTATTTCTTTATTACGAGTGGAAGTTAATAAGTATTTCTTTATTACGAGCTGAAGGTAATAAGTAAGTAACAAAAGGCTGTTTAAAAAAAAAAAAAAAAAAAATTAAGGACAATAATAACTTGAGAACAATTTATTTTTTACACGTGCACTGGCCTTTAATATTTAAACATAATTTCTACTAACATTGATGCACTTGTCCTATCATATTATCAGTCCTCCCAAACCTGTTGCAAAGAACTGCATGCTCTGTTTTATAAACCTTATTTTCACTTCACATTAAACTTCTGCCTCATTCACCAAATGTCTCCAGCCATGGTGGATTCTCAGTGGACCAAAAAGGTGGAAATCACCAAGGGCTGAGTCAGGGCTGTTAAGTGGATGTTCCCGAAGTTCCCACCCTTGATAGTTAATTTTCTCATGAGTTTATCAAGCCGTATGTGGTCTGGCATTGTCATGAAGGAGCAGGCCTATACGTTTTCTTCGCATTACATTATAAAGCATCGATAGAACTTTACAGTATGAATCAGCATTCCCATAGTCATCTCTTGTTTTAAAAATTGGTTAAAAGCAATTCTTGACATTCATAAAACACTGGCAGCCTCCTAACCTTCCCTGCTGATGGCGTAACCTTGAATTTGTGAACACAAGGCAAACAAGGATGTTTCCAGTGCATTGAAGCATGCTCTGATTCAGGCTGATAGTGATGCACCCATGTTTCGTCCCCATTAACAATCCTGTTCAGCATGTCATCTCCTTCATCTGTATATTGACAGAGATGCTGCAAGGACAGGCCTAATCGGTTCATTTTGTGTTCGTCCGTCAATTGTCTGGGTACCTACTCTGAGCACACTTTCTTAATTTACAGAAGTGTATATTGCAGTATTTCATACTTTCTTTGAAAAAATAAACTAAGGATTTATTATTTTTCCACATGTATTTCATAGAGTTGAAAAGTTTAATTTTAAGTAGGTATTTAGTTAGTTTTTTTAAATGTATATTTTATTTTTTATTTTACAGCTTCTAATCTCAATTTTGATAGCAATGTTTTTCATTTTCATTTTGGTAGACAATGTTTTATTTAGAAATATATATATTACTTACTACTCATCTCAATGTAGACAGGGCAATCATTCTAAAAGTTATCATTGTCAAAGACACCATATGCATGTATCTGGGTTTTTTTTCCCTTTCTCAAATGCACTTTCCACATTTACAGGGTAAGCATATTAGAAAACTAAAGTTTAATTTTATCACAGCATTTTATGTGACTAAAATATATTTAAACAAAACAGATACATGCATATGTTGTCTTTGACAATGATAACTTTTAGAGTGATTGCCCTGTCTACATTGAGCCCAAGTAGTGAGTAATCTATGCCACATACTAAGTCTGAGTGATTAACTTCTCTTCACATTGTTTAAGAATCTGACCAGCCATTCTGTGGCAACAAAATTGTGGAAGAGGGAGAAGAATGTGACTGTGGAATGGTTGAAGAATGCAAGGATAGCTGCTGTATTGCACGCAATGATTCTAATGCTGGTACCAGCTGTAAACGTCCTCTGAATGTCAAATGCAGGTAGGAAATAGTTAACTGTGTGTAGCACATGTAGCACAGCTGTCCTCTTTGTGTATGTTGTAGCACAGCTGTCCTCTTTGTGTATGTTGTAGCACAGCTGTCCTCTTTGTGTATGTTGTAGCACAGCTGTCCTCTTTGTGTATGTTGTAGCACAGCTGTCCTCTTTGTGTATGTTGTAGCACAGCTGTCCTCTTTGTGTATGTTGTAGCACAGCTGTCCTCTTTGTGTATGTTGTAGCACAGCTGTCCTCTTTGTGTATGTTGTAGCACAGCTGTCCTCTTTGTGTATGTTGTAGCACAGCTGTCCTCTTTGTGTATGTTGTAGCACAGCTGTCCTCTTTGTGTATGTTGATGTCACACCCGGGTTTGTCTTTTGTTTGCTACAGAAGGAGTCAGTTGAAGAATATAGACACAGAGAAAGATGGTTGGGTCAGTGTAGGTGATGATGCTTGTATAATAAAATGTCTGGAAACAACTCTTCTTGTCAATACAGTCTTGATTGTGATAGCCCAGTCATGTCACAAATAACATCAATGATATTCTGAATAGCCGCTGTTTTTGCTCTCTGGTTACATACTCTTGAGGTCACATTGTGTTCTTCATCTCTGGTTACTTTGTTAACTGATTCTAGTTTCTTTATCTGCCACCTGGCTTCTAGTGCTGTCTGGTACTAACAGTTTGATCATCGACTCTAGTTAGTTAGTTAGTTAGTTAGTTAGTTGGGTTATCATCATTGCACCCCGGACATGTCCATAGGTGCTCAGATCCTCCCCTCAGTATGAACCCCAAAGTCCGATGGCTAATAGTACCAGTTCTATGTTGATTAACAAGTCTTCTGACGTGTCCGGTGTGCGTCTTGTTTTTTGCTGTGCCGATCTTAATTCCCAAGTCTGCCATTCTGGCGAGAGATGTGGATTCACTGCCACCAAAGTCCTCTATCCTTCCCATTTCTCTGAGGGCATTGATAATATCAGCATGATCCATAGGCCGACCCTCAGTAGTGATAGCGGATCCAGCCAAACTGTCAGCTCTTTCATTTCCATTGACGCCTGCGTGTCCCGGAACAAAAATAAAGGTGACTCCACGCACAGTGGACTTCTGAACCTTCGCACTGAACCTGCCTGAACCCTCCGGATCATACTCATTGAATCACTGAGTATACATGTGCGGGTGTATTTTTGTGTTTCGAGCCAAGCAAACGCTTGCGTCACTGCCATCACCTCCATCGTCATTCTGCTGGTTGTCATGGAGAAGGCGCCGTTGGCTTCTTTGACTGTTCTGCCCGCTGAGCGTGCTGTAAATGCCCATGCGCTTCTTCTTTGGCGTATAACGGATCCGTCTGTATAGATTATTGCATCTGCTTCATCTGAATTTTCACAGATGAGAGCGTTGACCTCTGCATTAACAGCAACAGGATTCTCTTCTCTTCATCGCCTGTTGAGTGTGACAATACAGGAAAATGTACAATTAAACGCCTGAGGCACAGGTATCCATTCTGCACCAGGTATGATGTCGGTTAGGCTGCATATTTGCCTAATAACATCTTCTGCCCGACCTAGCCACGATTTTCCCCTCTTCAGTCTGTCGCCCTTTTGACTAAAAAGCGCTTGATGCAGTGGGTGTTTCTTATCAGCACATATTTTGAGGTATGCCCGAGCCCTCCACATCCTGATCCTTTGGTTCATTGTTGGAAAGTCAAGTAGATACCTCATTGCTCCACATGATGTGTCTCTTGTGCATCCCAAAATAATGCGCATGGCTTCATTTTGCACCTTTTCGAGTCGTTCAATCTGGGTAGCACTGACAGTGAGGATGGCCAGAGCGTATTCAATGGGGGAAAGGACCAGACCGTAGAATAGAAGTATTAGTAGTCTTTGCTCGATATTGGAAGCAGCGATCGACTCTAACATCTGAGTATTGTTTCTGTCTAATGTGCGCCTGTTGAACATGGATCCATGTATCTTGACTATTGTCTCTCTTAGTTCATTGTTTCGTTTCATGTCTGATCTCTAGTGTCTGCTTTGAATATCCATGCAACTGGTTCCTCTTCTTCTGACATTGAGCTGGCATCTCTAACTGAATGTTCTTGCCTGTGAGAATCCATGTTACTAGTCTCTCCTCTTCTAAGTCTTGTAGACTGAAGGTTGAAGATTCTTCCTAACATTGGACGGGCGATGTCACTAGTCCCTTCTCTTGCAAGTCTCATCAGAGGAAAGGCAAGAAGGACATATAACCAGATTATGACCGGTACCGTTAGTATTGGAACTCTGAGCTGTCTGCTGAAGATGAGGATGGAGCACACATGGAAATGCCCCGAATGCTGTGATGTCAGTTCTTGCTCAGCTCAACTCATGTCAACCTAATTTCAAGTCTCAGCATCTGAAGATTGCTCAGTTCATTTCTTACCCACTATTTATTCTGAGATGCTGGAATGCATAGTATGTATTTATTCACTACTGCTTCTGGAAGATTCTTGTATGCTGAAACTTGTTTACTATGTGCGCTCTCATGTGGGATTTTCTAATTGCATCTCTATTGCATCAGATAGCTCTGCACCAAAATAAACTTATTTGTTTGGGGGCTGGCCTTTCAGAAAGGGAACACTTCTGCGTTCTCTTTAAGAGGGCACGTCAATATAAACTATGACAGACACTACTTATAGATTATTCATTTGCAAAATATCTCTCTGCCAATTAAAAAGTGATGATTCTAGAAAGGGAATGTCAAGGTTACTAAGACCTGGGGGATTCTCAGTCCATCCTAACCTTGCACAATATCCTATCTCCTGATTAACATGTAATGGGTCTAGAACACTGTGAAACACCACCATCTTTTAAAAAAAATGAGCTAGGTTTTTATTACCACAACAGTTTATTCACATTTCTTTGTTGGTTGATGATATAATAAGTATCCTACTCTGGGAATTAGCAAACGAGGAACCACAGGATTTTGCTGTTGATCATTTCATACTGCTTAGTTATCAATTCATACTGCTCAGTTATGATGATCATTATCTAAAGCAAAGGTGCCCTCTCCCTGGACAGATCACATCCTTTATATTACGTCTTGCCATTAAGAACAGGCTGAAATGATTTACAATTGTACACAATCGGTAGAATCATGGATCAGGTCACTGCTCTTGTCCTCTGCATGTGGCCAAGTCACCTCTTTGCCTTCCCCTTCCTTCTTTCCCAAAATTTTGCTTTGTCCCCAAATTCTTCTTTCCTTAAACTATATCTTCTGTGATCAAACAGAACGATGCATTGACACATGTGCTTTTTTTCTTTCTGTCCCATTCTTTCTTCCCATGTCTCACAACGTAGACACATCTGTGGAGCAAATTAGGAGATTCTTGGCTCAGTCTCACATACTCTGCCCTAGGTTGGCTTGATCAGACAAATTTGGTTTCATTTAGGGCATTGCCAAAGTCTTGTCTGTAATCCTTGTGCCAGGTTTTGCTGATATAATTATTGTTTCATTTAAAGTCATTTGAATCAACCTCAAAAACTTGTTCATGCTGATTTCTAATCAGTATTATTGGCATTTAAAGTTTACTATATCCAGTTAGGTTTCTATAACTTTTGGATCCTTTTTTTAATGGATAAAGTTTGAATAAGTCCTAACACTTGTGTTTTAGGAAGTAATGCCTTTGGAGGCCCTTCAGACACTTCTGGCACATGGTTCTACTCATTTTTCTGCCTCCAACTATGTTTCGGTTGCTATGACGCAACAGTCTTTTTTACAGGGCACAGGTAACCCCAGAAAAAAATTGATGTAAAATTAAAAAACACATCAAACTTTCTCGAAAGCCGTCAATGAACAACCTACAGGTGCAAGAAATGTGAGAAGCAATCTGACTGGCTGGTATGAAAACCTGCCAGCCAATCTCAAGGCTTGTATTGCATAGAGCCGACCAATCGGCCCAGTCATCCTTTTGGCTACTTTGTGTCGGCCCGATGTTTCAGAGACCTGTAACTACATGCCACGTTAACATTTTTCTTTATGTGTATCATGGATGAAAGCATTTTACAAGATCTTCAACGTTGTTACCAGTATATATATTTGCAATGAGAATATTTCCTGACCTTCAACATTGGCATCTTTAACCCTTTCCCTGCTATGTGCTCCACCAGCGAATGTTACCACTGTGCTAAGCAAATTCTGTGCTGAACCTTTCCTCTGTGCTGAACCTTTCCTTTGTGCTAAACCTTTCCTCTGTGCTGAACCTTTCCTCTGTACTGAACCTTTCCTCTGTGCTAAACCTTTCCTCTTTGCTGAACCTTTCCTCTGTGCTAAAAGTTTCCTCTGTGCTGAACCTTTCCTCTGTGCTGAACCTTTCCTCTGTGCTAAACCTTTCCTTTGTGCTGAACCTTTCCTTTGTGCTGAACCTTTCCTCTGTGCTGAACCTTTCCTCTGTGCTAAACCTTTCCTCTGTACTGAACCTTTCCTCTGTGCTGAACCTTTCCTCTGTGCTGAACCTTTCCTCTGTGCTGAACCTTTCCTCTGTGCTGAACCTTTCCTCTGTGCTAAACCTTTCCTTTGTGCTGAACCTTTTCTCTGTGCTGAACCTTTCCTCTGTACTGAACCTTTCCTCTGTGCTGAACCTTTCCTCTGTGCTGATCATTTCCTCTGTGCTGAACCTTTCCTCAGTGCTGAACCTTTCCTCTGTGCTGAACCTTTCCTCTGTGCTGAACCTTTCCTCTGTGCTGAACCTTTCCTCTGTGCTGAACCTTTCCTCTGTGCTGAACCTTTCCTCTGTGCTGAACCTTTCCTCTGTGCTGAACCTTTCCTCTGTGCTGAACCTTTCCTCTGTGCTGAACCTTTCCTCTGTGCTGAACCTTTCCTCAGTGCTGAACCTTTCCTCTGTGCTGAATACGTTTCTATCCTCCAAACGCAAAAGATACGTCAACGAGTGCTGACAGTTCAGAAGCACTATGGAGATGTCATGAAACACTTTTACAGAAAGAAAACACTAGAAACTAGACTTTGTTCAGGATAGTGAAAGAAAATGTACCCCTACTAAGTCTGCCTTATCTTTGTCTCCACTGCTACCATATATGTAGTAGAAACTCCACCATGGGTGAGCATGTGGAGCGAGCACGTGGAGCAAGCATGTGGAGCAAGCACAACAGTACAGTAACCTTCTGATCGTCAGCAGGAACATTTTTTGAATGTTTCGGCCCCTTTACCTTCCTTACAGGAGGATATTGAAAGACAATTTTTGTTTTTCATTTTCTACGGATGTCTGTGATAAGTTGTCTCCGGGCCCCCGCCTCTTTCAAAACCAGATGGCTGGGTCAGATGGTCTTGCTAACGACCAGAAGTAGACATGTCCTCCGGCATGCCCTGAAGATAACCCAACTGATAACACACATTTCAAGTGATCCTTACTATCACTCCTTGAAAGAAACTCCATTTATTATTCATCAGCTTTAATTAAAAATTTTTTTTTGCCATTTTGTATAAACAAGATGTAGACTAATAGTTCAAAATCAGAAATATATTTCAGGGTAAAAATTACACTGCATAGAGACCATTCCTCTATAGTATAGTAAACAAAGCAACAAAATAACACAGAACATATCTGAATACATCTAAAAACACGTGATAAGGGTTTTAATTGTATGTAAATGGGCCAGTTGGATCCTACTTCAGGTCATGTGTATTGCCATTTAACTCATGAGAATCAAGGTCCTCAGAAGTCTGTAAGAAAAGACAAAATGGTGTTTTTACGTCCTTAGCAGAAAATGGAGCATGCAGAATTACGTCTTCTACAGTCTACGGTGCAGACGTAAAATTAAGCCCACAGCAGTGAAAGGGTTAAGCCATATTTTCATTTTAGTAATGCTCACTTGTCATACTTCAAACTTTTTAATACAGCCTGTAATGTATGCATACAAGTCTTTTTGCACTGTTATGTATTTTAATAATATCCTCTTGCAAAAAAATGTCCTCTTTTTGCTAAATATTTCAGTGCATATGGGTTTTTACTGATCTGTTAAGTTATATTTGTTTTCACAAGCAATAAATTATCTCTCTCTGTCTCTCTCGCTCTCTCTCGCTCTCTCTCGCTCTCGCTCTCTCTCGCTCTCTCTCGCTCACTCTCGCTCTCTCTCTCTCTCTCTCTCTCTCTCTCTCTCTCTCTCTCTCTCTCTCTCTCTCTCTCTGTTTGATTTACTTCATGAATCCAAAGAGTGTAAGTCACTGGCAGTTAACCTGGTAGTGAGTTAGTGTAGTGAATGCCTGCCAAACTTTAATTTACCTTGAAATTATAAACAACTTTGGCTGCTGTGCTGCAACAAATGCTTGCATGTATGTATCCAAGTGAGCATTACAAATTAAATAGACTTTTCATAATGATAGCATCACGCAAATTAAGATGTGGTGCAATCACTTTAAAGATGTTCGTACTTTGGTGGCAAGTAGACCATGTTCTTGCAGGCCCTGAAAGAACCAAAATAATGAGGTCATTGATGAAGTGCTTACTAAGAACTTCCTAGGTGGCGGACAAGCATTTGTTTATGCATGATTTTCTCCTGTGGTGAGTGTCCATGAGATATATGCCTAAACAGCTAATGATGGAGCAGAAGAAATTCAAATGTAGGTCATTGCAAATTATGCTGAACTCCAAAAGGCAAAAATGGATTGGACTTCCTGAACATTATGATGATTGGTGATGAGTTATCGATACCACCCAAAACCATTGTCAAAAAGGCCTCCGTGGAGGTCATCTGTCACCTTTACGACTGAGTCTATAGGCAACTGAAATTTTTCATCATGATTCTGAACCAGCAAGCAAGTTTTTATTTATTTATCAAACAGAATATTACTTCTTAAAATACTTTTCATAATGATAGAAGTGTCTACCAAAGATATTACTGTAAATGGGATTAGAGTTTGAGTACTCCATGAAAGTAACATTTGTTTTCTACCTAAATATTTTGGTAGCCTTTGAACAAACCTTTGTGAACTGGTCTGTTTGATCAGGTCCCCTTAAATTGTCACCTTAGTTTTACTAGCATTTATTATGATGCCAAACACTTTGTGTTATTAAACTTGATTAGAAGTTTTATAGTTGTTGTTGTCTGTTGCTTATATTTTAATAATGTTAACTATAAATATATTTTTTCATAGCCCATCAGAGGGTCCTTGCTGCAGTGCTCAATGTGAATTTGAAAGTAACAAACAGTGTCTCCAGCCATCAGACTGTTCAGAAGCCTCAAGCTGTACTGGATATCCTTTTCTCCCTTAAGAATAGTATTAATGTGAGCCTAAGAATAGTATTAATGTGAGCCTAAGAATAGTATTAATGTGAGCCTAAGAATAGTATTAATGTGAGCCTAAGAATAGTATTAATGTGAGCCTAAGAATAGTAATAATGTGAGCCTAAGAATAGCATTAATATAAGCCTAAGAATAGTATTAATGTGAGCCTAAGAATAGTATTAATGTGAGCCTAAGAATAGTATTAATGTGAGCCTAAGAATGGTATTAATGTGAGCCTAAGAATAGTATTAATGTGAGCCTAAGAATGGTATTAATGTGAGCCTAAGAATAGCATTAATATAAGCCTAAGAATAGTATTAATGTGAGCCTAAGAATAGTATTAATGTGAGCCTAAGAATGGTATTAATGTGAGCCTTTTAGTATTTATGTGAGCCTAAGAATAGTATTTATGTGAGCCTAAGAATGGTATTTATGTGAGCCTAAGAATAGTATTTATGTGAGCCTAAGAATAGTATTAATGTGAGCCTAAGAATAGTATTAATGTGAGCCTAAGAATAGTATTAATGTGAGCCTAAGAATAGTATTAATGTGATTTGATTTGATTTTATTTTATTCAAGAACCGACATCACAGCACTTGGGGCATTCCCATAAGCGCTCTGTCCCCATCTTCAGCAGCCAGCAAAGAGTTTCGATACTAATAGTGCCTGTAGCTTTCTGATTAAATGTCCGTCTTGCCTTTCCTCAGAGCCTTGAGCTTCTGCCAGAACCACACGTCACCCCCAACTGCATCAATCTCACCAGACTGTGGTGATCCATCTGCTCCTCCGCATTGTACATGCTCTCCCACAAGGCACTAACCACGTCTGCCCTATCATGTAGCAGTATTCCACCAAGTTGTGCAGAGCCAGCCAGTCTGTCCGCCTGTTCATTTCCCAACACACCGGCGTTACCCGGTGAAAAAATCCAGACAATACACCTCACTCGTGTCCTCCACAGCGAAGCATGCCACTCTGCACAAAGCATACCTGTTCTGATCTTTCTCAGCATGCTTTCTGAATCAGTTACAATTACAATGTGTGTGTGTGTCGTGTTCTCTAGCCAGCGAAAAGCTGCAGTGACCGCCTCCACCTCCATTCTTAAGCTGGATGTTGTGGTATCATATGCTAGGCTTTCCTGCACCAAACGTCGACCATTAACTTTTGCTAAAAAGCCCTAAGCACTTCTTTTGCCTCTTGACACTGAACCGTCTGTGTAAATGATCAGATCCTCTGAGCGAGCATTATCTTGAATTAATTGCTGAATTTCCACCTCTGTGGCACCTGCTGGCCAGTCTCTGCATTCCCGGCTCAGCGTGATTATGACTCTACACAAGTCTCTGCTCAGGTGGCACTTTGACCCACTCTTCTCCTCGCCTAATGTTCTCAAGGATGCAAACCTGTCTGATTGGTCTTCTGCCTGAGCCATCCATGACCTCCCTCTTATCAGCCGCTGACCCTTAACTGCACCCAGAGCTTCATGCAGAGGGTATCTGTGTCTGCAGCTACCCTGAGATATGACTTCACCTGCATCACCTTGTGCCTACCTGCAACCGTCGGCAAACCAAGGATGTATCGCATACACACCACTGGGGTGTCTCTGTCTGGTGCAACCCAGAATAACCCGCATAGCCGTGTTTTGTATGCGCTCTAGTTTGTCCAACTGACTCTTTGAGACGGTAAGCAGTCCCGGGCCATAATCCACCACTGACAGGATCAGGTGCTGATATAGTGTGAAAAGCATTCTCTGCTCTATGTCAATTGCAGCCATAGTCTTAAGTGCACTAAGTCCTTTTTGGCATCTCGTCACAACACTCTCCACATGGTCCTTAAATGACAGGCTCCTGTCAAATGTAATTCCCAGATATTTCAGTTTGCTCTCACTGTTGACGTCTCTACCATCTGAGACTTTTGTAAGGTGATGATTCTAAAGCCACTAGTAAGCTTAGAATGATCTTTAAAAGGTTTTGGTAGTGGTCTTAGATAGCTGTGCACCCAGTCTTGCGGTACTGATGCTGTCTTTATACTCTGGTTAAAACAGTCGTCCATCTCTGCCAGGTCTACATCTCTCAAAGCCTTCATGTGACCATCCCTGACACCATCAGGCCCTGGTGCAGTGTCTTTTGCTTTTTTCAAAATTTGTTTGATATCTTCCACTTGTATCATGTTTTCATAACGCATATTCTTCAAGGTGCCAGCTAACTCCTTTCTAACTGCATCCCTGATCTGTCTGAGCTATAAACCTATGGAGAAAAGCCTCCCCTTTCTCCTTGTCTGTTGTCACACACACACCATCGTCTCTACAAATTGTTCCGACTGTCATAGGCCGATCTTTTCTTTGCATCTGCCCTTGCAGTTTCCAGAATTTCCCCAATGTTTTATCGCCTCCCATGTCATTCACAAAAGTTTCCCACTTTGCTCTTTTGGCCTCTGCAGCACAGCGCTTGAAAACCTCCACCTTATCTTTTTTCACATTCTCCGCCATCTCCACTTCCTCACGTGAGCTTGAGGGAGGGTGTTAGTATTAATGTGAGCATAAGAATAGTATTAATGTGAGCCTAAGAATAGTATTAATGTGAGCGGTTACCCCCCCCCCCCCCCCCCTACCCCCCCCCCTTTTTTTTTAAATTCAAATTTTTAAATGATAAAGATTTCTGTAAATTTAATTTATTCTTTATTAATCAGCTTATATGTTTATTCCTTTAGTTTATATGATGTGTCACTGCTATGAGGTACCTTGAGACTCTCCTGCTCTGTTTAATAGATAACTATAATGTAGCGCTATCAAGACGTATTAAATAATGTATGGATATTGTGATAAACAACAGGTAGAAAGCACACAAAAGAGCTTGCAAACAGGAAAATTAGCCGGGAGGTAAGTTTCTGGTAGAGGTTATCTAATCCTTTCTTTGACCGGCACATATCAGTTGTAGGTAAAGTAGGCACATCTGCAGAATGTGCTCAGGTGTTTGTGGTCCTGTTTGACAGGCACACTGTGCTGTACAATTTTTATTTTATGCATGTGGTAGTTGAGCCTGCAGTGTCCTGTTTGTTGATGGAAAATTGTTGTATGTTGCTTTCTGTTGAGTCTGCTGATGGGATCTTGTAGATGTTTACTGTTAGTTTGTTCTTTCAGTCACAAAGGAAAAAAGTTTTGCTGTTTTTAATTTTACTTTTCTCAAGCACTTTGGCTGAATCAATAATTGCTTGCTGCTCTGCTCTGAAGTTTGTTGAGTTTTCCTGAGGCGTATGACGTTTCTACTGTGGTCCCATCTTGCAGCTTCATGACTGATCCAGCTCCTCTGTTTTTTCTGCTCCCCCCAGTGATCCATCGGTGTAAACGTGTATCCATTCAGATTTTGGATAACGGTTGTAGACATGTTCAAGGGTCTTTGTATGCAGTACTAGGTCACATTCTTCAGCCTTTCTGCCTTTGCCTGGAATTGTTGTTTTTTATGTATAGTTAGGCTGTAGGTCTATGCTGTATGCCTGGATTACTTCCCGTGTTGAAGGATCTTTAGAAAGGATGTCACTGTTGTTAATGTTGTACAGTTTTGATAGATGGTGAAAGCTTTGTCTTTTCAGTCGGTTTTTAGTTGTTATTTGCTATTCTGTGCAGGGGATTGTTGTTCATGTGTTTAAATTTTTCTGTTAGGGTAAGCACCTTTTTTTTTCTTCAAAGGTTTAAGCTCTGGAGGCCAGAAGCTGCCTTCAGTTCATAGATTGGTGTGCTTCTCATACCTCCAGTGATGATTCTGAGATCAGTGTTCTGTATTTTGTCCAGTTTGTGTAGGTTTGATTTGGTTTCAGTGGAGTATGCTCCCATGCCATACTCCATTTTTGGTCGTCTGTATCCAATGTATACTTGTCGTACAGTGTTGGCATTTGCACCCCAGCTTGTTTCAGTGTTTCTTCATAAGTCTGAGCCGCAGGGTAGCTTTCCCTTGGGTGTTTTCAATGTGGGGGCCCCAGGTTAGCTTTTTGTCAAATTTTACTCCCAAATATGTGGGGTTATCCCCTTTTGGAAGGATGTTGCCCTCTAGGTAAGACACTAAAGAAAAAAAAGTGGGTAAGCATCTATCATGTGTAAATAAATTATTTCCTTGACTTTTTGCACTGTAAATGAATTATTTCCTTGACTTGTTTCACTGTAAATGAATTATTTCCTTGACTTGTTTCACTGTAAATGAATTATTTCCTTGACTTGTTTCACTGTAAATGAATTATTTCCTTGACTTGTTTCACTGTAAATGCAACATGTCCAAAACCAAATCCTAAAGCAAATCTGACATTCTGCAGTCGCCACAGTAAAGTATGCCTCAGCGGGGTGAGTACAGAGACTATATATTTGACCTTCCAATAACATTAAATACAACAGTAAAAGATTGTTAGTGTTTCTCATATTTGAAAAGTGAATGTTACTTTTCCACTTTTCCGTGGCCATGGGCTGTTAGTTACGTGGAGCTGGTTCAATTTTTTAAAATAGATGACTGCACTAAGTGGGAGATGTCAGTGTCAGTGTCACTGTAATGGATTTATAGGTTTGATGTACAGACAATTCATAACAGTATGTTTCTTGGTGCAAGTTACTGCCAGTTTTATTATCACTACAATAATCTCCCCTGAGCTTAGCAAACTTTAATGGTCAATATATACAAAAGAAACATGTCTACAGGGATACCATTGTATATATCTATGAGTGACACATAACAGTAGTTAGTTAATTAATGGTGTATCCTTTAGTTAATTAGTTGTGTATCTTTTTCAGGACATTGCAGAACTAACTCCAGAATTTTTTTTTTTATTGTTGGGGTTTTTCTAGGCAAATTTACATTCAGTAGTTTGTCATTGCTTCTGAATAGTTGACTTTCAATACCACTCAAAACCAATGCAAGACAGTCTGCCTGCAGCTAGGATCAAACCTGGTTCCCTGGGATTCCAAAGCACGTTCACAACGCCTAAGCCATAGACGCTGACAAAAGCAGTACAACAGATAATTCCACTATGCCCAGTGTTGTCAGTCACTAACATCAGATCAGTCCCTTCATGGCAAAATGCTAATGTATCACAACTTGAACAAATTAATTAACACATGACACTGACCATTTGGAAGCAACACAACCAATATGCTTGCAACTAGTTATCAACAACAGCTCACAGAATTCAGCTTCAGGTCTCAGAAATGAGATATCTGAGAAAGGTGGTCCAAGTGACAAGAAGGGACAAAGTTCGGAAAGTAACTCTGTTCATTAAACTCCCACTTAAACTTGTTTCACTATTTTAATTAAGAACTTTATAATATTGCTACTAAAAAAAAATAGGTTAATAGGAAAGAAACTGTTGTCCCGACCATTGTGTGACAATCACCAAACAGGCAGACTTAACCATCTGAGACAAAGTGAGAAATGATACTGTCAAACAGACTTTGGTAACAGCACCATGCAGCAAATTCATTGAGGAGAAAATGATTCAATGATTTGGTCATCTCGTTTGAATGCAGCCACAACGGCTACCAACACAGGCGCTTCATATAAAAAGATCTGATGTGAAAGCAGTGAGTCGTCGCAGGAAAAGATGGATTGATGACATGAAAGATCTCCACATCAACACAGGCGCTTCATATAAAAAGATCTGATGTGAAAGCAGTGAGTCGTCGCAGAAAAAGATGGATTGATGACATGAAAGATCTCTACACCAACACAGGCGCTTCATATAAAAAGATTTGATGTGAAAGCAGTGAGTCGTCGCAGGAAAAGATGGATTGATGACATGAAAGATCTCTACATTAACACAGGCGCTTCATATAAAAAGATTTGATGTGAAAGCAGTAAGTCGTCGCTGGAAAAGATGGATTGATGACATGAAAGATCTCTACATCAACACAGAAAGACAGTAGTCATGGCTACCTATCCAGCAGTGGATCGCAATCTGTTCCTCCCCACGTCACTTAATGGCAGAAGTTGAAATTGATAATGATGATGATCAAACAGGCACTGAAATGAGAAATAGAAAGATTGAGGAAACAGGGACACATGTTGATGAGAGAAGCTAGAAGTGCTGGTTAGATTCAGTTTATGATATCAAATGGATTGCACAGGAGAGAGCGGAAAAAAGGAAAAGGCCTTTTTGACATATAATGGCCCAACATGACAATCAATTAATGAATACTTTTAATTTTAATTGTTTGAATAATATCCTTCCAGGAATGTATTGGCTCTGTGTGCCAGAGGATTAATTGGACTGAGTGTTTTTTGACATCTTCTGAAGTGACTGGTGTTGAACAGATGTGTTACGTTTCATGCAGTAAGAAGACATTTTATTTTCAGGTTTTATCCTTTCAGAATAATCTTTTAGTGTGTGTGTGTGTTTATATATATATATATATTTTAACGTTATCTTGCTTAAAATTTACTAGGAGAATTTTTCATTTTTAGACTTAATTTTATTCATAACTCTTTGTGGACTAATTACCACTTAAGTGGCGTTTGAATCCATTCTGCTAGGACTAATCGCCATTGAAGTGGCGTTTGATAGAGACACTCTAATATTGTTTTGTTTGCTGGAAAACAAATTTGTATGAACATGTTTTGAAAAACTAGAATTGTTGAAACAAAGTCTTTTTGTTTTTTTTAAGCTCGTTATGGCTTTTGCTACACTTTCTGAAATGTTTTAAATTTTTTAGATGTGATTTTTTTAATGTGATTTTTCTATAGCAAATGATAAGGGAAAAAGTCTAGGACAGTACATTCTGCTCTGTCATTGATGAATCTCAGCCAGACAGTTACAATAGTCTTGATATTATGATTGATAATGAATGTGCTTAATCTGTTGCCGATAACTTAGGTGAGGAGGAAGATTGAACCAAATATTTTAATCGGCTCATCTGTTTCGATCAGCTGTTTTCCTGATTTTCAGTTGTGAAATCTGACATGTCATACAAAAAGGATCATAACATCCAAAGTATTAATATTATTTGTTTCAAATAAAGACTAGCTGGTTTATAATGAAACAGAGAAGGCATGTGCATTCTTAGAATTGGATAGCAGTGTTGTTGAACAAATAAACAGTAAGGTAAGCACAGCATTCTATAAATAATCTGCACACGTGTCTAATATTCTTGAATGTTGTGTGATTTTAATAATACTCTGTTGTAATACTGACACTTAAATAGTTTAGATTTATTCTGCTTTCATTTATATTTACTTTGATCTATTATGTGTCCTTAAACAGCCAATACTTTTTCTTCAGGAAGGTTTTAGCTTTGTCATGTTGCAATAAAAAAAACTCCTCAAAATTAATGCTGTCCAAACACCAGAAAAATATGTCGTCCTGAAAGAGTTAATTGAGTTAATTAAGAGTTAATAACATGTGAACCAAATATTGAAGAGCCTGATTTTGAAGAAGCACTGTGTGTCATAACGCAGCATAAAAGCAATAAAGCAACTGGTGCTGATAGAACTGCAGCTGAACTTATAAAAGTAGGTGGTCATGCATTACTGATAAAGATATATGAATTAATAAAACTAGTAAAACTAATAAACCAGTCATAAAATGTAATTATGTCACATAGCTTGAGCCATGTATCTTGAGTTTGTTGGACAAAATTGAAAACATTGTATTTTGTGAGTTTTTTTCACTGATGAATCTTATCAGATGGATGTTTTCATGATTTTGATGGTCAGTATCTCATATATTTTCTCAGGAAAAAACACCACTTCAGAGTGTATCAGCTCTTTTGATGAGAAGAAAGTGGAAGCCAATCCTGAATTCAAGAAGTTGTTGGGTGAAATCAGCAGCGCAAATTCAGGTTCTTCACAGGGAGTAAAAAGACCAGCTGGTATTGACATGTTTTTTAAACTTTACTTAATAACATGCAAAAATTACTGTCCTTCTTCCTGTTTTTAATCTAAAAGAAATACATTTTTTTTCCTTGAAAGAAAGTTATTTCAGATGTTAATGATGCTCTAGATAATAATTTTTCTGACAAATAATTGCAGGCAGATTTTTCAGATGTGAGCTAGATTTTATATATTGTCATCACCATGTTTGTTTTTGTTTTGCTTTTTTTTTAATGTTTATTTACCCTTTAAAAAATATGAATTTGTGCCTCAGGAATTCATGGTTATTTACCCTTTGAAAAAAATATGAATTTGTGCCTCAGGAATTCATGTTTTTTTTTTTAATTCTGACATTATTCTGTCTGACAGTTTACAGCTACAATAGTGACTGTGCAAAACCAGATGATGGTAAAAAGTAAAAGAAGCATGCCAGTTATAATTAACTAATTAAATCATTAAAGTAAATTATCATTTAAACATGAGTTGATTTTCACCTCATACATGTTTAAATGCTCTGTTCCTAAACATTTCAGTAATAAGAATTAATTTTTTTAGAAAAAATTTGATCAAGAAACAAACTGGCACAACTGAAGCTAGTAGGTGTAGTCTGTGGCTTAGGTGTGCATTGCTAACGTGCTTTCATAATGGCGGGGTGCCAGGTTTGATACCAGCTGCGGACAGTTTGTCTTGCGTTGGTTTTGACAGTGGTATTGAGAACTGACCATTCAGAGGGAGTGGCAAACTAATGAGTGTAAAATTTGCCCAGAAAAATTACAACAGCCAAAAAATGCTGGGTTGGTTCTGCAGCGTCCTGTTAAGGATACGCAACTAAGTGTAGAATAAACACTAAAGAAACAAATGAATTAAATATGTCATGACAATAGGAATGGATAGATGGTCATTGTTTGCTTTTTCACGTGATCACTAATGTCTCAGATTAGGTCTGTGTTCCAGTAATGCCACTGAGCTAAGACATCTTGTTATTTATCACTTTGTCTTCCCTGGGAACCCTTTCCGTCACTTTTACTAGTTATAATTAAATTTCAAGTTTTTTCTCCTGATAATGCTCAAAACATCTTGACTGTAATTTTATTTTCTGTAACCAATTTTTACAATTGTTATGTTTGCAAGAAGACTGCTCTCATTTGTTGTTATGTTTGCAGGAAGACTGCTCTCATTTGTTGTTATGTTTGCAAGAAGACTGCTCTCATTTGTTGTTATGTTTGCAGGAAGACTGCTCTCATTTGTTGTTATGTTTGCAAGAAGACTGCTCTCATTTGTTGTTATGTTTGCAAGAAGACTGCTCTCATTTGTTGTTATGTTTGCAAGAAGACTGCTCTCATTTGTTGTTATGTTTGCAGGAAGACTGCTCTCATTTGTTGTTATGTTTGCAGGAAGACTGCTCTCATTTGTTGTTATGTTTGCAGGAAGACTGCTCTCATTTGTTGTTATGTTTGCAGGAAGACTGCTCTCATTTGTTGTTATGTTTGCAGGAAGACTGCTCTCATTTGTTGTTATGTTTGCAAGAAGACTGCTCTCATTTGTTGTTATGTTTGCAAGAAGACTGCTCTCATTTGTTGTTATGTTTGCAAGAAGACTGCTCTCATTTGTTGTTATGTTTGCAAGAAGACTGCTCTCATTTGTTGTTATGTTTGCAAGAAGACTGCTCTCATTTGTTGTTATGTTTGCAAGAAGACTGCTCTCATTTGTTGTTATGTTTGCAAGAAGACTGCTCTCATTTGTTGTTATGTTTGCAGGAAGACTGCTCTCATTTGTTGTTATGTTTGCAGGAAGACTGCTCTCATTTGTTGTTATGTCCATCTAGTGTGTGTGTTTTTTTTTTAGAAACCATTTTATGCTGCTATTAGACAAAACAAAGCAATATAGAAGTTTAAGATAAAAATGAGACATGATAATAAGAATCACTGTTAATTTGGTGTAACTGTTTTCCTAAGAACTGGGTTTATTTTTATTTTTATTTTCAGGTTCTTCCTGCAATAATTACAAAGGTTACTGTGATGTGTTTTCAGGTTCTCCCTGCAATAATTACAAAGGTTACTGTGATGTATTTTCAGGTTCTCCCTGCAATAATTACAAAGGTTACTGTGATGTGTTTTCAGGTTCTCCCTGCAATAATTACAAAGGTTACTGTGATGTATTTTCAGGTTCTCCCTGCAATAATTACAAAGGTTACTGTGATGTATTTTCAGGTTCTCCCTGCAATAATTACAAAGGTTACTGTGATGTATTTTCAAAATGTAGAAATGTTGATGCTGAAGGACCTTTCAGGCAACTAACAGATTTGATATTTAAAGAGGAGACTTGGAATACAATAAAGACATGGATAGAGGTTAGTTTTAGATAATGAGTGCTTGATCTGACTGTAAGACAACAACAAAGAATTACTGCTATCAGTCTCTGCTTGTTGGTATTTTGAATATCAGTTTGGTTGTTTGCATTCGCTGGTTTTTTACTACAGTGGAGAGTCCTGGTTGTTTGCATTCGCTGGTTTTTTACTACAGTGGGTAGTCCTGGTTGTTTGCATTCGCTGGTTTTTTACTAGAGTGGAGAGTCCTGGTTGTTTGCATTCGCTGGTTTTTTACTACAGTGGGTAGTCCTGGTTGTTTGTATTCGCTGGTTTTTTACTAGAGTGGAGAGAATCCATAGAGTAGGGGTTGGCTGATGAGTGTGAGACATTGTCTGGATATTGCATATCTTGGGAACCAGCAGCTCCCAGATCCTCTCTATTTCTGTTTAGGCTGACATAGACCATTACCCAAGGTGCATGATGTGGACATGTGGCAGGATTCTTGCACAAGACTAAACTTCCCTTTGTCTAGCAAATGAAAGGCTGGTCATTATCACTTGTTGCAGACACAAAAATACCAGTGGAGAGGTACTAGAAAAAATAATGTTTCTCCCAAGTTATGAGTCGAATTATCTTCACGGAACTCCAAACACTTTATAGGAACTGAGAACCTCCCTTCAACATATACATCAGCGCCCAGCTGGTTATCGTCGTGCCTGTGCTGTGCTGGTCGACAGGATTTCCTGTGTCTAGTGTGCCTCTCCTGGCTGTGCTGATATTTACTCCAGTTCTTGCAGTCTCAACAGCCATTAGGACACACTGCTCCCAAATTTCTCCAATTGTCCTATTTCTTTAAGGGAATTCCTAATGTGGGATCCATAAGACAGCCATGGATGGATGGATGGATGGATGGATGGATGGATGGATGGATGGATGGATGGGTGGGTGGGTGGGTGGATGGGTGGATGGATGGATGGATGGATGGATGGATGGATGGATGGATGGATGGATGGAATGATAGACAGATAGGCAGAAAGGTTGTTTCTGTTGACATAATTTTAGCTTAGTACGTTATTCTTTTGTCATTGCATATAGGATCACTGGTGGGCAGTACTGCTGATGTGTATTGGTGTCATTGTGTTTATGGGAGTGTTTGTCAAGATATTTGAGTACAACACACCAAGTAAAGACCCCAAGAGAAAACATCAGACAACACCTGCAGCTAGATCTCAGCCAGTCCCCAGATCTCAACCGGATAAGGTAATCAGCCATTACTGTAACTACTCGTATTAGTAACCTGTTGACAAGTGTTTATGTAATCAGTATAGGAGGTAATGTTCATTCCATTCAAATTACATCACTGATTGGGGTGAACATGTATTCTAGCTAGTACATTAAAACAAAGCATTTGTAATGATGAAACCTGATATCTTCACATAAGTGTATTTTGTACGCATCCACCTGTATAAGGTATGCCAAAAAGCACTAGGGAATGTAGAAGAAGTTAAAGCTAGTACAACTCTAATGTCAAAACAGTACTGCTGCTTGAAGCTGAAACAGGGAGAACTTGAACAGTTACTAAAAAATAAAAAAAAATAAAAATAAAAGTCATTAACTGGTGCCTGCAAAGAATGTAAGGAATTAAAAAGTATGATCGTCGTCACGTAGCAGGTCCTTGGCAGAATGTCACTTTTATTACAGTCTGTTTGAGAGAAACTCAGGCTTTCTTCCACCTCGTGTACTTTCATATTCAAGGAGTCACTTATATCCTGTACCCATCTTCGTGTTGGTCGGCCTCTGCCCCTCCTTTCTGCCCTTTCTGCTATTGTGCCTTCTGTTACTTCTTTTTCCATTCTGCCATGTCATTTGATAATGCCAAAATATTTCAGCTTTTGAGAAAAAAATGATGTATATTAGCCACTTTTTTTTTTTATGTTCAGATTTTTTTAACTGTCAGTATTTCTTCTCTTCTTTGTGCATGATATTCTGATAATCTTTCTATAGCATTTCAGCTCAAGACCCCCATTTTCTATTTTAAGGACTGGGAGATAGTGCACGACTCACATCCATATGTTTGTACAGGGAAGATAGGAGATAGTGCACGACTCACATCCGTATGTTTGTACAGGGAAGATAGGAGATAGTGCACGACTCACATCCGTATGTTTGTACAGGGAAGATAGGAGATAGTGCACGACTCACATCCGTATGTTTGTACAGGGAAGATAGGAGATAGTCCATGACTCACATCCATATGTTTGTACAGGGAAGATAGGAGATAGTGCACGACTCACATCCGTATGTTTGTACAGGGAAGATAGGAGATAGTCCATGACTCACATCCATATGTTTGTACAGGGAAGATAGGAGATAGTGCACGACTCACATCCATATGTTTGTACAGGGAAGATAGGAGATAGTGCACGACTCACATCCATATGTTTGTACAGGGGAAGATAGGAGATAGTGCACGACTCACATCCATATGTTTTGTACAGGGAAGATAGGAGATAGTGCACGACTCACATCCATATGTTTGTACAGGGAAGATAGGAGATAGTGCACGACTCACATCCATATGTTTGTACAGGGAAGATAGGAGATAGTGCACGACTCACATCCATATGTTTGTACAGGGAAGATAGGAGATAGTGCACGACTCACATCCATATGTTTGTACAGGGAAGATAGGAGATAGTGCACGACTCACATCCATATGTTTGTACAGGGAAGATAGGAGATAGTCCACGACTCACATCCATATGTTTGTACAGGGAAGATAGGAGATAGTGCACGACTCACATCCATATGTTTGTACAGGGAAGACAGGAGATAGTGCACGACTCACATCCATATGTTTGTACAGGGAAGATGCATGCACTAAAAATTTTAATTTTGATTTCCTTGCCGGTGCTTAACTATAGACTTTTAAAGCTGTTTAATCTTTGCATTGCTATGGCTATCCTTATTTTTAATTCAGCTTTCAGTCATCCTTATTTTGATTTCTGTCTCACAGTTTCCATTGCAATTTATTATAGAAAAGGGTATGATAGAATCACTAATTTAGAGCTTTGGGAGAAAACTGCACATTTTCGTTGGTCCAAAGGTGAAAAAAAAAATGCTGTGGTTGGATAGGACACTTGTTGAGAAGACTTTAGAACAAAATAACTAGAATGTCTTTGCATTGGAACATGCAAAGGCATAGAAATAAAGGTAGACCTAAACAATATTACAAGGGGCTATAAAGTGAAGTTTAAGGGGAAAAGGGGGGGGTGTGCGTGTAAGCTGCAAAGGATAGGACAGCTGGTGTCAGTTAGTTGGGGGCCTATGCTCCATTAGGTGATAAAGAGCAGAATAAGAAGGCAAGTCAGATATATAGTATTAAATTGCAGGTCAAAGCTAAATTAAGTTTCAGTTAAGTGTTGTTTACGATACAGATGTGACATGGTAGTTTTCATAATACAGTATATATAAGTAATATAGCATTCCTATTGAGGTCATTCTTACACACTGACAAGTGACTAACAGAACATTCAACATTCATTTCTCAGTACATTCAACTGTTGAAAATAAACATTTCACAAACTCTTCTTCTTGTATTCTTTCTCAGCCCCTGGTGTCACACACACAATTGTGTTGTTTTTTTGTAAACTAAAATCTTAGCCATGGACTTCTGGTCCAGTATGGTAGATAACCAGCTTGTTGCTGACTCTCTGATAAGTTATTTGTTTTTTAAGAAGTTTGCTGATGCAAATTTTCCATTTATGGACCTGGTGTCCAGAGGTTCCATTGCTCAGCTACTGAATTGAGTGCTTGATTTGATATTGTGAGCTGTAGATTCATTTGTAGTGGGTTTTTTCTGTTATGCCTATGGTAGCTTTGCATTGTGAACATTACTAAAAATGGTGGGTGGCGATTACTTTTGGAATGGCCTGTACTTATGTAGTATTGCATGTACAATGCCAGCTTTTGTAATTGACTGCTTGAATCAACAGTGAGCTGCAATTCTAGTGTGTTGGCACATCTGACAGTTGCTTTCTGTATTCACTTTACATGTGCAAAAGAATAAGTAAAAATTAAATTATTAGGCAATTTAATATAAAATTAAAATTGAGCACATGCAGGAAGGTTCATGAAACCTGATTGTGTTTCCCAGTTGTGAATAAAACTTAATAGCTTGCCAGCATGGGTTTCGCTCAAGAAAATAAATGTTAATGTGGATATTTATCAACTTGGTCACATATTTGTTTATTTATTGTTTACCAGTATTTGCAAATGTTCATTGGTTTTAAGTATCAGCGTCATAGCATACTTGGGAAACCCATAATCTCCCTCAGCAAATTTCATAAGATGTGGTTGCGGATTGTTTCAGTGAAACCCTGGTTACAGGGTTATCAGAAGTAATGGAATGCATAACTGTTATTATGAAAACATTTAATGCATTTTTTCAACACAGATAGGGATTAGTTTACTTTTGAAAGTGTACTCACCTTTTTGTCTGTAACATAGCTAGCCCACTCAGACACTTGTCAGATTGACAGGCATGTACCTTTATGTGTTTACAGACACTGTCTGCCATAATATCAGATGGTCAATAAATGGATCAGGCTTATTCTACATGTGAATAAATTCCCTTGGAGAGTTGGACTGAAATGGTGACTTTCAGCTCAATAAATTAACATCAGTAGCATGAATGCAAGCTGGTATAATTACTGATTTTCTGATGGACGCATTACAGAGGATATTAAAATATTTCTGGAGTGAAGTAATTAGTAGTATACACAGCACCAAACTGGACTAAACAGAAAGAGGTCAGATGAAAATCCTTGAAATCTCTGCCTTATGTTTAATTTAGTAGTCAGATTTAGCTTTCTTTTGGCATTTACTATTTATTTTACCTTATTTCTTATTTCCTTGTAATTGTATTCTACTGTCATGTATTTCCAGAGGGCTGGTCCTTACACCACAAATGTACCTATGCAGAACAGACAGGAGCATGGTGGAAACCAGGGCTATAACAACTATGCTTTCCAAGGCTCAGCATTTGATCAGGATTATGACAGCGGTGCTGTCCAACGTCCTACATCTAGCAGGGGACAACAGCAGTTCGACAGAGTTTCTAAGGCAAGACAGTATTAGCTTGTTTCTGTTGTCTGCATTTTTTTTTTTTTTTCGTTTTTGTAGTTTAAAAAAAAATGTTGAAGATTCAATTGTGTTATTTGGTATTTTATTTTTAATGTCCAGATTTATCTTAGCCCCCCACGAACATCATTTTAAAATCTTTTTGTAATAATTGTGAATCAGTAATAGTAATATTTCAATTAAATATATCAGAGGGAGAAAACTAATGCATACAAATATCAGTCTGTTGACTATTGAAACTGTGATTTTTTTTGTTTTCAAAAATAAGTTTGACCTGCTCAGTCACTGTCACTGTTTAACATAGCAGTGTGTCATGTATATACTGATTGCATATCCACCACCAACGACCCTTTTCTTCCTTGTGGTCTTGACTGTTTTCTTCATTTTGAGTTTAACCTGGAATGACAAGTTATAATTTCCTTCAGCTGCAAATATATGAAGTGTTTGTTTTTAATTCACTCATTTTTTTTTTTTTTTATTACTGATACAGAACCGCTGAAATCATAGCTTAAAATAATAATGTAAATTATTTCCTAGACATTATTAACTTGAAGAGTCACAACAATGCATTGCCTGTTGACCTGGTGATCATATGTTCAGATCTCACTCAGGGCTGTCATTTGTCCAATTTTGGTTAGAGCTTCCAGTTGAACCCATTCTAAAATTAGTACAAGCAAATATTCATGGTGTTGGGGGAGGGGGGGGGGAGAGAAGAGGTGAATAATAATTTTTACTTCGTGACCTGTGGAGTGCTGATTCATCTGTAAAGCTAGCGTTTTATTATGACTAAGGTAATAGAAAACAGTTTTTTTTACTTGTCAGTTCTGTTACATTTTTTAAAATAAATATAGGCAGAGATTTGGCTATGGAATAATTTTTATTTTTTTATTTTGCCATCTATTGTCATTTTTACACAGTTGATGTCATGTTTTGGCAGTGTAATTATTTTATGATTAGTCATGTGTTTTAAATATTTTATTTTTAACAGTTGTTGTAAGTTTCCCTATGATATTTTGTGCAAATATGTTCAACAATTTTGGAAAGGGGGAGGGGGGGGGGGGGTGAATCTGCAAATTTTATTGCTGACACAATCTTTGTAAAAGTTCAGCTACAGTAAGTTTTGAAAATGTGGGACCTTTATTTTGTGATGTATTCAGAAACCTTTGATCCACCAATACTTTCTATGTTTTTCTATCCTCTCTAGTTTTATAAATTATAGATATGTGTATTCATTATTAATTTACATGGGATTGCCAGGAGATTATGTCAGTGGCAACAGAGAGAGCAGAAGAAGAGAAAAAAGAGGAAATGGAAAGAGAAGTAGGCACAGAAAAAGAGTAGTTGGAGCCCAAAGAGTCAGGTGAAAAACAGAGTGTTTGAGATTAAAGCTTATTAGAGTGGCTTACTGGAATTGTTGTGCCAAGCAGAAGGAACATGTACTGGGGAGACTGATTTATGACTTTGATATCATTATGCTGCAGGAATCAAACATAGATAGATATGAGTGTCCTGGATACATTAGTTATAACGTCTACTGGACAGGGAAGAATTGGGCCATAATGGCTGGTGAAGAATGAGGTGATGGACTTGGGATGCTAACCATAACAAAGAGTCAGCTAATGAAACTTGAATGCATACATAATGAAGCCATACAGGGAATTCTGGAATGTACAAGCGATACCTTGGTAGTATGTATGGGACGTATACTTGCACTGCCTACTGTTGCTGATAGGCTCAAAGTTCTTCAAGCAAAGTCATATCTAAGAGTAGTTGCGACAAGAAGAACCTCCTGCCTGCAACCCTGGATAGAGCTAAGGATCACAGACTGAAATGAGGAAGGTCTTGGATGGCGCAAGCTGAAGACACAATTAGACATGTGTGCAGGCTTGATAAATTTAAGCGAGGAGAGTAGCGGGTCAAAGTGTCCGAGCAATTTTCAGACTTGTGTAGAGTTTTTATCATTTTGAGTCGTGAGTGCAGGGACTGGCCAGCTGGTGCTGCAGGATCAGAAGTTCAACAAAGGATTCATGACAATTCCCGCCCAGGCGATGGGATTATCTATACAGATTGCTCTGTGGTGAGGGGTAGATAAAGTGCTTGGGGGTTTATAGTGAAGGCGAATAGACGTCGCTTGGTGCAACAAAACCTGGCCAATGATATCACGTCTAGTTTGAGAATGAAGGTGCAGGCAATCTCTGCTGCCTTCCTCTGGTTTGAGAAACAGCTGTTCACACATGCCGTGATTGTCACTGCCTCACAGAGCATGTTGAGAAAGGTGGAGACAGGAATGCTCCGTGCAGAGTGGCAAGCAACACTTCAGAGGTCCCAGGTATTTAGCATCCTTTGGATATTTTCTCCAGGGGATGCCAGTTTGTTGGGAAATAAGCCAGCAGATAAACTGGCCTGTTCTGCATCGCTTGGTGGTAAACTGATGTATGACAAGCTGGATGTTTTGAGGTCTCTTTGGGAACGATTGAACATTGCGGAGGCACAGATAGATCATTACGGTCTGGGGAGAATGGCTCTGAGTTACAAGGGGCTCAACTCTCGGGGAAAGGCGAAACGAATATACAATCAGACAGTTATTGGTGCCATCAGAATTGGAACTCTTTGCTTGCTGCTAAAGATGAGGACGAAGCACTTGTGGGGGTGTCCTGAGTGCTGTGATGTTGATTCTCAATTCAATATTCATATATTTGTAATAAAACTGTGACACCTTCGTCAGAATATAATTGCATTTTTAAATAATTGTTTTCATACTTTTTAAAAAAAAAATCCTTTCCCTTAGAGAACAAATATTCTGGTGGTTTATTTGAGGTTAAGATACACTTTTTTGTTTGTTTTTGTTTTGTTTACATGAATTGTGATTTGTGTAAAATAAAATATAGTGAAAGATAATCAGCAAACTTTTTGATTATTTAAAATCTGCATTTGTGAAATTCAGATGCAGAAAATGAAACTTTCTCCACTAAATTGAAACGACCTGTTTACTCTGATCACTATATCAGTGCCTTCTGTTATTTTCATTATTTTGTACTATTTATTTCAGAAGTAATGTCGCGTGGAGGACTCTGAGATATTTTTATGCAAACAAGTCATAATTTCATGTTTTGTGACAATAAATGATTCCATGTTATAAAGTGATATGCATCGCTTATTTATATGCATGCAGTGTTTATTATTTATGTTCATAGAACTTTTATAGTTCTTTGCAGGTACAGTGGGGTCCAGTGTTGATTATTTATGTTCATAGAACTTTTATAGTTCTATGCAGGTACAATGGGGTCCAGTATTTATCAGTAAAACATTCCAAATCTGTTTTTTGTAGTTGAAACTTTTGCAACTTGATATAAGTAATACAACGTTCCTAGGTAAGTTATTTTCATGGCCGTCTCTAGATAAGACCAACTAGGTCAACAGAAATTCCCATTTTTGTGAAAGTCTGAGAGGTTGGCCTGTGTTCACTATTTTTATTGACTAGATTTATCACATCTTCAGGTGCCTTGCCGACTGGCATGGGCGATCATGCCTCTCCTGCAGCATGTATTAGTTTGTGTGCTGACACACCTCCATGCCATACAACAAGACTGTCAAGAATCTTCTCTCGTTGTCTTCCTCTATCCCTCCTTCCAAAGATCTTTTCAGTGGTCACATGTTCTATTTTCCTTCTTCTCATAACATTGTCGAAAAATGATGACTGTCTCCTTCTGATGTCTGTGATTAGTTGTCTTTGGGCTCCCGCCTTTTTCAAAACTTCTTGGTTGCTCTTTTTAGCTGTCCAAGGTATTCTAAGCATTATTCTGTAAAACCACATCTCTGAGGCCTCAAGTAATTGTTTGGCCTTCCTATCGATTGTCCAGGACTCACAGCCATATGTTAAAACTGGATAGTTAGTTAGTTAGTTAGTTAGTTAGTTGGGTTATCCTCATTGCACTCCGGACATGTCCATAGGTGCTCAGATCCTCCCCTCAGTATGAACCCCAACGTCCGATGGCTAATAGTACCAGTTCTATGTTGATTAACAAGTCTTCTGGCGTAGCTGGTGTGCGTCTCGTTTTTTGCTGTGCCGATCTTAATTCCCAAGTCTGCCATTCTGGCGAGTGATGTGGATTCACTGCCACCAAAGTCGTCTATCCTTCCCATTTCTCTGAGGGCATTGATAATATCAGCATGATCCATAGGCTGACCGTCGGTAGTGATAGCGGATCCAGCCAACCTGTCAGCTCTTTCATTTCCATCGACGCCTGCGTGTCCCGGAACAAAAATAAAGGTGATTCCACGGACAGTGGACTTCTGTAATGATTCAAGCCATTGTCTTCGCACTGAACCTGCCTGAACCCTCCGGATCATACTCATTGAATCACTGAGTATACACACGCGGGTGTATTTTTGTGTTTCTAGCCAGGCAAGCGCTTGTGTCACTGCCATCACCTCCATCGTCATGCTGCTGGTTGTCATGGAGAAGGCGCCGTTGGCTTCTTTGACTGTTCTGCCCGCTGAGCGTGCTGTAAATGCCCATGCGCTTCTTCTTTGGCGTATAACGGATCCGTCTGTATAGATTATTGCATCTGCTTCGTCTGAATTTTCACCGATGAGAGCGTTGACCTCTGCATTAACAGCAACAGGATTCTCTTCTCTACATCGCCTGTTGAGTGTGACAATACAGGAAAATGTACAAATAAACGCCTGAGGCACAGGTATCCATTCTGCACCAGGTATGATGTCGGTTAGGCTGCATATTTGCCTAATAACATCTTCTGCCCGACCTAGCCACGATTTCCCCCTCTTCAGTCTGTCGCCCTTTTCACTAAAAAGCGCTTGATGCAGTGGGTGTTTCTTATCAGCACATATTTTGAGATATGCCCGAGCCCTCCACATCCTGATCCTTTGGTTCATTGTTGGAAAGTCAAGTAGATACCTCATTGCTCCACAGGATGTGTCTCTAGTACATCCCAAAATAATGCCCATGGCTTCATTTTGCACCTTTTCGAGTCGTT